TGCAGCTCCTGAGGCGCCTGCCATGATTCCACCGAGGATGATTTGTCCAACACATTTTTCCTACCCTCACTCCGGTTTTTTGGCCATGTAGATCCTGTTTTCACCACACCTTTCCAACAACATGCCCACCATCATCTTCGGACGGTCGCTCAGCTTGCTGCGCAGACAACCACTTTCAGTTTCACCTTGCGCAACGAAAAATAGCGCGTTTCAGTGGACAGCCTGACATTCAATATGTTGTTCGGATCCACACAGGCGCCTTCTTGGGGTTACTCCGGTTTTCCTGTTTTCTCAGCGATCTTTTCAGTTTTATTCGGAACCGTTTGCCGACAGCATGACTGTTTTAACGCCACCATTGCTTTCCCATTTGACTGTCCTGCACCTGCTTTCCCTTTCTCAGCTTGCTCAAATCAACAACCGGTGCTCCACGCCCACGATCCAGCGATACTTCGCCCAGCCACCATGGACGCGCAGTGGCAGCAATATTACTGGAATCATTATTTGATGCAGCAACATCATCAGCAGCTCACCAACCCAGATACCACAACTTCTCCTCCCACCGCCGCACACCACACCTACAGCCCCACAGGCACCTACGGCCCACTCACTCACGCACTTCGCACACACCACGTCCACCACTCCAACCCTTATGTGACTCCACCGTACACACCGCCATCGCAGCACACACCCCCACCCCAGGCACCCACGTCCCAGCCGGAGTTTCCACCTCCGCCGCCGCCACCCCTGCCCACAGCCGAACCTGTCACTCCACCACCATCGACCTTCCAACACAGCCCACCGCCACCACCCACCACACGTGGCACCACACCGCCTGCCCCACCACCCCCACACATCCCATCTCCCACACCACCTGTTCCGGACTCCTGGAACCCAACCGAGCAACATTGGGACTCCAACACACTGCACGGCCATCAACTACATCGTACGATTCAACCCACCCAGTGGTCTCGCAAAGCAGGAGTGGCCGGCCTCCCCACCTTTGAGGTCTTCCCGTGGCAATTGGCTTACCACGGTACCTCCGAGTTCACTGCCCGTACCCTGAGCAACGGCAAATACACAGGTTTCATTGCAACCAGAAGCATAGCGGAGTCGGTCTTCGTGACCCTTTTTCTCCAACAACTCCGTGAGCACCGCCTTGACCTTGACGGCATAGCGGAGGCTCTCCACACACAACAGAGCACAGACGTTCCAAACAAAACTACCCATGCCCGAGCGTTCCACGCTCCCCTCATCAAACTCCTTATCGACCAACTGCAAACCCACTCCCCAGCACCTGCGGAAGGCTCCGCCCTACGCGCCCTCAAAAACACCAACGACGAACTGGCTCGGGCGCGCCAGAAACTCCACGACCTCGGCAACCCGCTCACACCAGTCAAGCACACCGGCCGATCTTCTGCACCAGCCGCCCCTTCCCACGCACCCACACCACCACCACCGAAACCACCAGCCATCACCGACGTCTTGCAACCACCACACCCCACCCTGCAAGACGACATCCCCGAAGGCTGGAACTACCCAGATATCCAACAATGGGTCACTACTTTTGACCCCGTCATCCAAGAAGCTGCGAAAGAAGTCATCAGACTGCTGCAAACAAGCAAAGTCACCACGCAGCAGCTAAAAGAAGCAGCCACCAAGTATGGCCTACCCCTCAACCGAGTCAACCGACTCCCCATTCGCAGCCTACAACAGCTGGTGGGAGTCGGAGCAGCCATTGGTTGCTGACTCATCATCGTGGCCCAGCAGCAACCCAGCCACACCAACCTCACCCAACTTTTCCACCTACACCGCGCACTTTCCATCCTCATCCACCGCACCCAATACATCGACCGCGCCGAGGCCATCTTTGCAACCGGCCTCATCCACATCACACTTCTTTTTGCATACCCGTCCAACACCCGTCGCTCACAACAATGGCGCAACCGCCTCCGCCAGCTCCACATTTTACCCCACACCTACCACTACCACAACTTCCTCTCTCCCAATTCCGTCTACATCAAGCTCCACTTCAATCCCGACCAACCCCAACGCTGCTACCATCAACATGGCCACTTCTATGTTGGCTCCACAGCTATCGGCATCCCCCACCGCGAGCACAATCGCCGCGCCAAACTCAAACAACTCCAGAACAACATTCCCATCTCTGCAGAACTCTCTCTACGTTATTGGCATTCACACAACAACATCCACCACTACACCACTATTCAACTCACCTCCCATGACACATATGACCAAGCCTGGATCCAAGAGCACCACTACATCGCCAATTGGATGCCGTCACTCAACTGGCCTTTCATTTCCCACCACCTCAAACTCAAAGCTCAGGGATGGCAGTTTGCAAAACACAGAGCCCACTTCTACTCCAGACTAGCCACCCACAAACGACTTTTCCGACGCCTTTGACAACGCCAGTACACCCTCAGAGAACCACACCTCTACACCTCCACCAAGCATCACGCCCTCCAACTTCTTCGCAACCTTACCAAACACACCGCAGCCTCTTTTGAGGCCGCAAAACAGCTAAGAAGCGGCCGCCACACGGACCTCGAGGTGTATGCAATCCGGCGTATGGCCGCAAATTTGGAGGAACCTGGCCGCAGCCGAGCTCTTCACATCCTCAACAAAGCCCTGATCTACCGCAACCTCACGCCACCTAAGCCAAACATCCCACTGACAGTGCCCTTCTTGGCCCATGACGACTTCACCAAGCACTGCCAACAATGGCTTCGTACCACCATCCAGCAGCACAAGCATCTCACCATTCCCCTCCACCTCCCCTCCCACAGACTGAGGGAAGCCGCCCACAAAACCCTCCGCTCCCACCTGCACAACCACCGCACATGGGAGGACACCCTCCACTCCCCGCCAGATCCAGCAGACCTCCCCTGTGCATGCGATCACCTTCGCACCCTCCTGCAGGATCCCGATACCCCTACCATCAATGGCCACTACATCCTTACACTTGACCAACTCCAACTCCCTACACACCTCAGCATTTTCCTCAACGCCAATATGAACAGCACCTATTACCCAAGCAAAGCTCGTTACTTCCTCATTTTCACGACGGCCTACACCAAATGGCTCAAACTACAGGGGCTTCCACCATCCCTAGCTCAACACCTACCGCCTTTCCTTGAGCACCAATGGCGCCTTCGCAACACACACCTCAAGCAGCAACCCCGTTTTACGGCCCGCCTGCTTCGTCAACTCCAAGAACATTTGGGAAAACACACATTACTCCACCATGCCGACCATGAGCTCCAACAACTCCGGCTGTTTTGCCCTCGCCAATATTTCACTGGCGCCTTGAACACCTGGCAATCCCCCGAACTTTTCGAACCACTTCCCTACATCACTGCCGCCAATATCCACGACCACCTGGCCGCCACTGTCCCCCCCACTTTACGCACCCGCTACAAGTGGGGCTTCCGAAAAGACTTCAACATTCCATACGGCGTTGTCCACCTCAAAGAGAAGAAGCACTGGCAAAAAGGCCGTACAATTATTTCATACTTCCAATCACTCAGTGGCAACTTGCTTCGCATCACCAGCCGTGCCCTTGACATCATCCTCCAACACCTCTACCCTCAACATCCCGGCCAAATGTCCATTCCCCAACTTTGGCACCACTTTCACAGCTACCTTACCCAAACACCACCAGACATCTCACTACACGCCACCAACGATGACCTGGTCGGCTTCTTCAACTCAGTCCCACAGCACCGACTCATCGATGCAGTTCACTCCCTCGTCCACCACTGGCAACAACAGCAACCCACACACACCTTAACGGTGGATGTCCAGGCCACCGGCAATCCTTTCCACCACTCACACATTGGCAGACATCATCGGAAACACCCTACCCAACGCACTATCCAAACTTCCGACATTACCACCATCGTGGCTTTTGCCCTCAACACATGCATTTTCCGGGCTTGCAACAATACTTACAAACAAATCCGAGGGGCGGGGATTGGATCCCAGCTCTCTCCAGCCCTATGCAATGTTGCCATCACCCTCATTGAGCACTCCTGGCATCAGATCCACAACAACCTCCTTCAACACACAGACCTCTACTTTACTTACTATCGATATGTCGACAACCGCTTCATTGTCCACAACGAACTTTTCCTTCAACACCCGGCTATCCAAACCCTCATCCACCACAATTTCTTTGGCGACCCAGTTGAACTCGAACCGGTGGAGGATTTTCATCTCCTCGGTTTCAACATCGACCTCCCACAACGTACCATCACCTACATGCAACCTTCCCAACCCTGGAAAATCCGGGACTCCACCACCGCCGGGAGCCAGCGCTTGGCTCTATCAGGCCTCCAATCAAGACTCCACACCATTCGAAAATACACATTCCCACCCTCCAGCGCTGACGTTGCTGCGGCTGAACTCGTCAACCTATATGTCCAAAAGGGGCATAACTACCACGCCTGCCACCGGTTTTTGAAAAAAGCGCCGACTGCGGCGACCTGTGTGTGTCCCACCCTGGACAAAGGGTTTCACCCTACCACTTTCACACAGGCAGGGGGATGGAGAGGACACGTGAGGCTCCATCCAACGAAGCTCCTCACGTGCTCCTAGGATATCATCAGGGACGCCTGATGACGTACCTGCGCCGTGACACTACTCCACTCTTCCTTGCTGTGTTTTGATGCCATGGTTGTTTGATCACGATACTCTCCCCTCAAACAGGTTTCCCACCGCAGTGTGCTTTGCAGCTAGCCGCGCGAGTGAAACATTTTTCAACAATTCAAGTCTTTGGACCTTTTCGCCTTGCTGTTCCATCACCTTCCTTCTCACCGAGACAATTGCATTAACTGAAAACCCAAGTTCGAAGTGTGAGCATTTTAGCTGCTTTGCAACAGCTGTTTACTCTATCAAATATAATTACAGATGATAGATTCACCATGATCCACCTGCAGCACTGATCCTGCATTCTCAACCCACTGACCTCTGTGTTTCAGGTCCAAAGCCGTCAGCCACAAGGCAGGCGATGCGAAACCCGCTGGAAACCACCGGTTTCGCTTCCGCTTGGCCTCGCTTAACCGCTCAAAGCCCTGGAACGTCGCGACGGCACTGCGAGGCCACCGGTCATGTGGTCCCTTTGGTTCGCGAGCTGATCGCGCAGCTGGTCCTGGAACGGCCTGGCCTTGGCATACAGGCAAGAGCAGCGAGTGCGACCGGTATTTTAATGGGATTTAGCTGGAAGAAACTCAACCGTCTTGGGGGACTCAAGGTGGGAAGTTTTTTTTTGGACTCAGCAACTCATTCTTGAACATCGCGCACGTGGAGCGTCCAGAGAGCTCCGAGATGTCGCGGAGGCATGCGTATACCTCGGCGAGATTTGCGTGCTTGATGAGTGTGTGCCTTAGCTTGCCTCGGCTTCTGCACATCGTTCTCATTGGTCGTCAATGTGTCGTCACAATTGGGGGCTGTTTCTCAGGTCGTTCGACATGGACCCCCCCCCCCTTTGCAAAGGAAAAGAACACCATGGTCCACCACATGGTCCACAACCACTGAGCACAGTCCACTGCCATGGTCGCGCAGGTGCGGCGGAGTGCTGGGCTCCACCGATCCCCGGCCGCTGGGTCGCTCCACTCGCATGCCTTTGGCCGATCTGTCTCGCTCCTCGGCGTTCCACGGGAACGGGTTTGGCCTTCCGAGTCCATAAGCAGAAGAAAGAAGAAAGAAGGAAGAAGAAAGAAGGAAGAAGACCAAAGAAAGTAAAGAACATACAGTGTTCTTTTCGGATGTGCTCAGGTTTGCCATGGTTGCTGGCACTCTCATGTGCAGAGCGAAAGGGCCCCCCCCACTCAGATTTGGCGGTCCAACACTTACTGAAACACTTCACACTCTGACATTCTTGAGGCAAGATCAAGTACTCGGATCGGGTGATGTCCGCCCTTGTGAGGCTCTCAGCATTCGTCCACCCGACACGACGCCAACGCCAAAAACGACGCTGGTCGTCGGTCACCGAGGCCACCGAGGCGACATGCAGCGGTAGCTTGGCGGATGCGTTATCCCATCAGGTCATCCGCTCAGGTCCGTGCCACGAAGAGTGTGGGTGGCGAAGATAGGTGTTTTGTTTCTTGTGGCGAGATGTTGTTAATGAGCTGACATGGTGCTATGTAGGTCAAGACCCACCAAAATTCTTGACACTTCTTGGGAGGATGCCTCCCCACAAAAAGGACGACGATGTATAGCTCGCTCCTTTTGCCACATCGCACTGCGACGACGTGCCAATTTGGACCTGTTTGGGCATCACGCTGAACCTGTTCCTATGTTCCTAGAGACCAACTTTTCTGTCAACTAAGGCATTGCGGCATTGCCTAATCAATTGGACTTGACATATCTTGACATCCCATTCTTGTCAGATATGTTTCCAAGGCCTTCTAATTATATCTAATTATATAGAAGCTACAAGGCTCATCAAGCACACTTTTTCAAGGTCATCAAGCAAGATGGCGACGACCGCGAGAAGCTGAGCACTGCCCGCCCTGCGGAAGGCCACCGCCGACCTTCCGTCGTCTGAGGCGAGTCCTTCATCTCCAGCCCGGTGGGTGATCTGGCCGACAAGAGCTGCATGATGAAGAAGCGTTTTCCTCAAAAACTGAAACTGCTAGCTGCGACGCTGGCCTACTGTAGCCCACCCTACTGTAGCCTCACCGCCCAGCTCGAGCCTGGTGACCTGGTCCTCCTCTCAGGCAGTCCGTCAGTCGATCTGAGGCTGGCAGGCAGCTTGGTGAATCATCCACATCATCGGGCGCAATACCTGCCATGGGGCACTGCTGGCATGTCAAAGGTATGCGCAGGTCATGTCAACCGTGATGTTCAGCTTAGTTCCGGAACTAGTTTGAGTGCTGATGGTTGCCGGAATTGGCACATAGATGTGCATAGGGAAACCACAGCAACACCCAGTTTATCAAGAAATACCTTCTCAACAAACTGTTTGCCTATTGTTCTTGGGATCTGATGGCTGCACCGGCTTTCGCTGTTTTCAGGGGCTGGGTATGTGGCTGCTGCTGCTTTGCAGCAGCTGAGCAATCAGAGTCAGGCCTGTCGATGGAGTGTTCAAACACGTTTTGCGCTCCCTAAATCTATTGAATTCAATTGAATTCTATTTGTAAAGAAGCCACGACTGTCGATGCAATCCACTGACTGACAGTAAACGATAGAAACGCGTTTTGGGATCACGACTCGCCATGCTCTTCAGACTATTATAGGTTCCTTATTTGGACATGCCAATGGTGCCAACGAATGAGTTTTGATTTTTCAGCCGACTGGGTGCATACTTGGAGAGTCCTGTCATACAGGCGTATTACTGTTTTGCATGTACAAGATTGTACAAGCACATTCAGAGTCGCAAAAACCATGGACAACATGCACCAAGCTCACAAACAGAGCAGTCTCGGGATTCAAACAGAGACAAAAGACGAGTGTGGTAAAAGCACAAGAACAAGTATCTGAGTATCTTTGCAGTATCAACAGCACAAGAACAAGTGTCCACAGCACAAGCACAGTCCACTTGTCGTATTTTCTGCGTTGGTCACAAGTCCACACCTCCGCTTCCTCTTCCAGGCAGATGCACTGGAGGAGCACTTGTGGCATCCCAAGAATCGCATCCAACGTTCACACAGCGATAACAACACCCATGATTCTATGAACATGATTCATCCTAGTAGATCCTAGTAGTCCTAGTAGTCCTAAGGAGCCTTGCGGCCTCATGGCACAGACCTTTCTCATGGGAGGGTCTACTCATATGGATAAAACATACAGGGTGTGTCCCAGTACCAGTAACAGTCGGTAGAAGATGATCACATGATGACTCACGATCCTTTTCAGAAAGAGAAGCGCCACATAGCGCCGAACAAGGACGGGAAAAAAAAGCAAAAACAAACAAGAACACTTGGAAACGATCCATGGAACATCCACCACGGGGCCCCTGTTTTTTCTCTTAAGATTTCTGAAGACGGGGCCGCGGGGCCGCTCCCCATCGGGCAGTCTCCAGTCTCGGTGAGGTCTGGACTCCGAGCTGCGCAGGAGTGGACGTGGTCGAATTAAAGATGACCATTTGCTGGAAGATACTTATTTTGGATGATAATGATGATAGGAGGGGAGAACGTTTTTGTGGCAAATGCACTTCTATTCTAAGGTCATGACTCCAATGTTGATTCGCTCCACACCTCCATGGGGAAAAGAGATGCAACGACGTTAGCTGCTGGTGGAGTTTGTTTTGCAGGAGCTGTGCCTGGAAAGCTCCACTGGTGAGCCAGGGACATAGACATGTTTTTTTTGTTTTGTGTGTTGTTTTTATCCTTTTATACATAATAATGATTTTTACTTTCTCATCAAAGACATCACACATTTCTACTTTTCTATTTTTATCGACACAACAGTTATCGTTTTGGCGCGCAACGGGCCTTTTCGCAGACCAGAAGACGCCTGGCCTGCTGGTTCTTGGGATGTTTTGGGGTCCTGACTCAGACCGTTGAGCCGAGGGACTGGGCCACACTGTCCAGTGGACTGTTCGCCGATTTGCGGTCGCTGGCATCAGGACTTTCTTTTTTTTTACGTGAAGATGTGGGAGAAAGACCGGGTGGTTTCATGCGGTTTCAGACTATTTCCATATTTACAAACTGAACTTGGGAGATCTCAGACATGGATTGAAACACACACTCAACCCGCTCAATGTGAGTTGAAACCAACCAGAAGAGATTCAACATGATTATAATTATACATGATTCACAAAACGACGCGGCCATCTTCAAAGACTTATATAACTTGATCCTTCCCTTCCGGGTTCCGAGTCGTCGGCAGGATCTGCAGCGGCTGGTGCCGGCAACATCTTCATGGGCCCTGTACTCGGCACCTCCAAGAAACCAGAGGACGCGAGTTTTTGTGCCATGAGAAGAATGCGTGATTATTTTAATGATTATACAAGAGCATCCAGACATGCGTGTGTTTTGTCTTAATTTGCCAGCTTGGTGGAGATGTGAGCCTGCTTTTTTGAGTCGCAGCAAAGTGGTGTTGGAGGGAGTCAGGATGGATCGACATTGGGAAAATCCACCTGTCATTGGGGATGTTCCGTTCCTTTTCCATACTTTTCTATTATCAGGTCTATGATCTATAATGCTTGGGCGGATCATTCTAAAGATCAAAGCTCCTTTGGAGGATTCACGGAAACAAACAACAGAATCATGCCGTCACCAACCATCCCACCGCGTGCCACTCCGCCCACCGTGCCGGCCGTATCCAGGACGGAGTGAGCCCCGGAGCGAGCCCCGGACCCGCTCCCAACGGCCTCGGCCTCGGAGCGAGTCGCGGGCGGCAGCGGAGCTGAGCGCACCCGTGCCGGCCGTGGCGCACAGCGGACGTTCCGAGGTGAGAGCACGCCCAAAAGAGGCCAGCCTGTTTTGTGGTGAATGTGGCCAACCGTGGCCACAACTTTTTGAGAGACTTTTTGGGTGAACAAGTTCGATTCCCAAGCGACGAGTTGAGAAGTAGGCCATAGGCCTAATGTTGATGCAATGTCCATTCCATTCCAGCTGGAGCCTTACTTTCTTGAGCAGACTCAGACCACCTCACACGCGCCAGGTATGTCGCTTGCCCGGAGTGTTTTTGAGGCAAATCGTGGGATGGACCGGTCACCCCAACGGAGACCCGGGAGACGAAGAAACGTCTTCGGATGGGTCAACACCGCACCATGAAGCGCCATGGCACCGCGTCTAGCTTGACCTCCGTAGGTCAACCAGTTGGTCTCCTGGTTGTGACTCCACTCCTCTCACATCAGACCCCCCGCTCCACTGGTCCACCTTCTCCTTCGACCGGACCACCACTGGGCTACTGTACACCGGTTGGTTGGTCCGTCCAGGATGCTGGAGGTCTTCTGGCGGATGTGGGTCTGGCCAACGCCGCCGCGAAGTGGTCCGCGGAGGTGGAAGAGCATGGCCAGCCGCGCGGGCGTGGAGCATGGCCGGGGGGTGTGGTTCCTCAGGTGTGCCCAGATCTCGCATGTGCCGCATCAGCAAGAAGCTGGAGACTGAGTCGACATTTTGGGTGGAGAGTATCAGAGAGTTCTTCGAATCTTCTCGATGGTTGATGCAAGGCCTGGCAGCGGTTTGCTACTCGGAGCCTTGCTGAATGACAATTGAAGAAGATCCGCTCAAGATACTCAAGTCGATTGAGTGGGAAGTTCAGTTGGTGTATCTTCATCTCCGGTGTTTGCATCAATGTCTCAGGTGTTTGCATCTTCATCTCCAGTGAAGGACAGCAGGTGGGGGAAGCCCAGAGAAACAACCGATGTGCTTCGAAAGTTCGATGCTCAAGGCAAATCCATGCACGAGAACAACCGGGAGACAATGCTAGCCGGGCATTTAGCATTCACAGACAGTGTTTATTGATGATGAAGCGTCAAAACATGTCGAAACCAACTATTGTGAGTCATAGAAGCAACATGAAGCAACTAACTAACTAGCAAAGGACGCTAATAGGTTGGAGGCCATCGCTACTAGGGTGGAGGCCATCGCTACTAGTAGCAAGAAGCTACTAGTAGCAGGAAGCAACATGAAGCAACTTTTTATTTTGCTTGGCCTCCTTGCAGCGGTGCTGCTTGCAACTTGTTGGATCCTACTTAACCTTACCTTTCAGGTCAATCAATGTGAATCAGTTATAGTTTGTCTCACTTGATCAAACATTTGCTTTGATTCACTATGCTTCTTCGCAGAGTCACAGCGGCTCAGCATGGTTTTCGCTCAGCGAAGGTAACCCGATGAGCTTCCTCTTCTCACAGCTTGCTCCTCCGGCTCGAGCATGGGATGAGCGAGGGTTCCAGGTCGGGATTCTGCGGGTGTCAAAGCAACGAGACGAGATGATATGGCACGGTCATATATTCTTTCAGAGAAACGGTCATGTAAACCAAGAGTGTGCGCCATTTTAGTGTGACGTCAGTGACATCCGTTCAAGATCGTCCAAGTATACAAAGTATGGGAGCAAACACGTTTGGCAAATATTCTTTTACTATGATGGCAGTTCCAGCCTTTGTGTGTGAAGTCACTTTCCTGGGTTTTAAGTCTTGAGTGGATACTTCTCGCATGTGGTCGACCTCACAGGTGATTGAGCTCGAAGGCACAAGTCACTCAGCTGTGGGTGGGTACCCCAGGGTCATCATCGCTTGCGCCCTGCGTCAGTAGATGAAGTATACATGTACATTCCGAAGAAAGGAAGGCGGTATGAAGGAAAGAGTACATTTGCAATCATTAGCATACATTAGCTCATTTAGGCATACCACTTAGTAAAGGACTTGACAATGGGCTGGCAAATCTTGCAGATTGCATTTCATCAGATTTATCGTTAGAAACTAGAAACCGATAAAACCCTCATACAAAGCGCTTTGACACCATGTCATGTGAAGAACACTTGCACAGGTTGATGTATCACTGGTACACAGGGTATCACAGGGTATTGTGTCCAAGCTTTGCTTGGCTGTTCTCCATCCCTCTTGAGGCATGCATCACAATAAGGGATGTAGAGCTGCCATTTGGAGTTTGCTGCTGAACACTCTGCGGACACCTGTTTGCATGGCCTCCAGCATATGTTATGTGCAACACCTGGAAAGGCCACTTAAACAAAAATTATATAACTTACAGTAAGTTGCTTATGTCCAATTTCAAACTTACATAAGTAGAGTGTGAGGTGTAACACATTTGTGATGGTGAGACTCAGTGGGGTAGGATGTACTGAACACTCATGCGTTCTCGGAATATGCACGTAGCACCCGCCTGGTGATGCAGATGAGTTTGACCAAGTCCTTTTGCTTCATTGGCATCACATTTTTGGCCGCAAGCTCCCCTCATCCTCCTCTGAAAGCCACTGCACAAGACGGGAAAACTACTGAAAGCCACTGAAAGCAAGGCAAAACATTGCAAAGCCACTGCTTCTTGCATCTTCTTGCTACGCGTTGTTCGTGGTCAAACTCCTCTCACCAGTTCCAGGTGCAGGGAGCTGCGGTGGGCTTTTGGGCTATGCGATCCAATGGCCAGCAGAAGCACCTTAGATGCGACTGTCGAACGAAGGAACCGTCATCATCGGGTATTTCAAGAACAACGGGCCTTGTTTCTAGGGTTTGGGAGGTAAACCTACCATAGACCAAACCGAAGCATCCACTAACATCCAACACCAAGCTGCCATGTCCAACCACGTGCACCGAACCCTGTGGTTCTACGACTCAACCGTGCCTGAGTGCTGCGAGCCGCTCACATGAGGCCTCCAAGCCCATCACGGTCGTGGTCCTCTGCAACCAGTTCAGCATGATGACGGTTCCTTCGCAAGTGGTGGCAGGAGCCTCGGTCCCGGACACCACCTTCATGGCAGCAGTTCATGGCAGTTCGGTCCGAGAACATGACACACAGACTTCCACACACGGTCCGTGAACGCACGTGCGTGAAATAAGATATATGATTATATATATATATATATATTGTATTTATTTGTTATATCAGCAACCATGATGACATGTGTGAAGTCCTATCATATGTAACTTTTAACTATCTAAATAGATATAGTTCCCAATATTCTGCAGGTGTTTGATGGTGTTTGATTGATGTTGGTGGGTGTCCTAGGCACGAATCGTAGATGCTATGCAGCTGCCACGGCCCATTGGGCTGCCGTGAAAAGGGAGCTCGGAAAGACGCCCCTCTTCATCGAGAAGCTTTCTCTACCCTGTTCCTTTCTCTACCCTTTCTCTACATCGGTTTCCTTCTACATCGTTGTTCACTGGCCGTTCTTTTTCGCCTTCTCTGTCTTGCCTCCCCTCAAAACAATGGAGGAAGCAATGAAGCAGTTGCGAACAACAGAGCAAGATACATTCCTAGAGTGGTTTCAGACAATCCTCAAAAGGTGGTTTATATGGACCCCTATATAAAGGCAATCTTTGAGTCTGTGCCATCTACTCTGAAACCGCAATTAATCAGCCCTCAGGATCACTATTCCTGACTCCCCTTCTCCTGGTTGCTTGCCGAGTCATTTTTGGAGCAGTGACTGTTCACGCCGTGGCCGATCACAGCACCTTTTGAGCTCAAAATCGGCCAACCATGGGCTGCAGTCAGTCGCTGGCGGTCGACCCAAAGGTCGACCAAGACTACAAGCCACCCTTGGGTCGATGCCTCACCAAGTCGATGCCAGAACGCACGCGGTCATGGCCGCGTTGCTTTGAAACGTGACGACGTGACGTGACTGTTTTTCAGCACAGTTTGGCCCCTCCGTGGTGGTTTCGGCGATGTTTTTGAACCTCCGGAGGCGATGCGAATCCGTCGAATCCGCGATGTTGGATGGACATTGAAGCGGATGGCAAGATGGTTGGAAGAATTGAGGTGGAATTGAAAGACCCTCGGCCTTCAAAAATTTTGGCGTGAAAAGACGACGTTTTCGAGACGAGCTACGACTTCGATGTGATATTTGGGCAATTATTAGTTTGTTTGGATGAGCCCGGGCTTTTATGCATGTAATATCGCTTAGGCTGATCAGGTTCCAAAGACTGTTGGCTCCTCAGCATTGTGAGAGTCTTTGTTCTATATATACCACGTTCTCCCTTCTCTTTTCTCTCTTGGAGGCGGAAAATTTCCGGGCCTTGTGCACTGGAGAGAAGGGATTTGGTTACAAAGGTCCTGACCCAAGAGAAAGCAGATCTCCTGCAGATCTCCTGCACTGCCTTGGTCCTGCCAGGTTCCAAGTTCCACCGCATCATTCCGCAGTTCATGTGCCAGGCAGAAACTTGGTGATTGTTTTTCTTTGGTCTTCTCTTGGATTCTTTCGGGTTTCCGCTTTTCAAACTCAATTCCCGTCAAAGAGCAGCACCGCAAGACCACAAAAAAGATACCAAACTCTGCTCTTGCTTTATCAGGGCGGTGACTTCACCAAAGGCGTCTTGGATGCACGACCATCGATCCGACTCCGGACGACGTCTGACGCGTTCGCATGGCCGTCGTCGCCGAGGAAACGGAACGGGTGGCAAGTCCATCTATGGTGAGAAATTCGAGGATGAGAATTTCAACCTCAAGCATACAGGACCAGGAATCCTTTCCATGGCCAATGCAGGTGCCATAAACCGCCGGCTTGGCTGTTTCTCACTGGAAGTTCTGCCTTCGGCAGCTCAGAGTTCCACTGGTGTGGCTTGTTCATCGCTGGATGACTTTCGCAGGCAAGAACACCAATGGCAGCCAATTCTTCCTTTGCACTGTGCAGACCAGCCATTTGGATGGTGCTCATGTGGTCTTTGGACAAGTGGTCAAAGGCTACTCTGTGGTGAAGGCCGTGCAGTGCGTGCTGCGTGCGTGGACTGTGTGCTTGCGACGTGCGTGCGACGCGGACTGCGCGTTCCTTTTTGCCGAGGCCATCGAGAAGGTGGGCAGTGGCGATGGAATGCCTGGAATGTTGGCCAGGAAACCCTGCCTTGCGTTGGTGTGTTTGTAGTGCACATATGAATATATCAACACTGCGTGTTTGTCAACATTTGACAACATGTGACACATGATAAGGAACGAAGGAACCAGACCCCCTCAGCTTTCACTTCAGCTCTACTGGTTGTGGCGAAAACAATTTTTTTTGGGCTTGCTGAGGTGAAAATCAAAGACTGTGGCCTGTGTGAAGAGGCAGGACGCGTTTTTCATTTCTAACATGTTCAATGTCTTCAGACGTCAAGAATCTGTTGGAACATGCTTTCCACTGTTCCTGTTCAGGCATCCTAGGGAGATGAGAAGAGGGAACCCTCCTGTGTCCATAGTTGGTAGCTCGGCAAAGGCGTGCTGCCAAAGTTCAAGCGTTTGCTTGAAAGTTGGACCACTTTTTTGGGATCTCTAATCTTCCCACAGAGAAGACTGTGGGTCAAAAAGCTCGAGTGGAGCTTGAGTGTGGCTGTTTGTTTCCTTGAGATGGGCCCCACGTCCTGCAAAGAGTGCTGGGCAAAGCCGAGCCAAAAGTTCGCCTATTTGATCCAAGCTTGCGCACTTTCAAGTTGGAGAGCAACCGATGCCTGAGAGTGTTCCAGAGTCACATAACATGTGAGAAAGGCAGATTCTGAGCCCCCCAGGCGAACATGACCACAGAGTGCAGTAGGTAATCACAAGGTGCCTGTGGAATGCGACAACTGCGCAGAATGCGACAACTGTTCCGATGCCCAAAGTCGTTGCTAAGAAGCTGTAGGCTTTTCATATTGTTAGTAAACATCAACACACCAAATTCAAGGGCGGGTTGTGTATCAAATCGATATATGAATGGCTGAGCGTCCTCATGGCTCCCTGCGAAATTCACACGAGCGGATGTGAATGTTAGGTATATACCTGCTGATGTACTGTCTTCCCAGGACTTAGAGTGCATTCCTGGTGATTTCTTTGATTCTGCCGTTTGTGGACTGCAGCTGGAAGTCTTCTAATCCATTGCACAGAGGGAGATGCCCTGCACAGAGGGGACTTGCGCCTTCAGCACAGCTCACACGTGGGCATATCTTAAATTGATCTTAAATCTCTTGAAGTTGCATATGACATGATATGATTAGACAGCCACATGATCTCAGAATCACACACCCCAAGTACATCGGTCTAGGCAAGGCATCGTGTTTTAGGACAAGACAACGGATCCGCCCCGTGAACAACAGGCCATGCAGGATGGCTCTTAGTGCCGAGTGGGTGTTTCCCAGGAAGTCTGTTGCATATCCACTCAGCAGCAGGCCCTTTTTCCCAACCCAAGGAGGAGGCGGAAAGAGCCTGCGCAGGAGCTGTGGTTTAAATGTTTTGTTCAAACATCACAAAGGCATGATCCATAGAGCCTATAATCACCATCTACCCTCCAACCTTATGAACATGGACATTAGAAGCTCACCGGTTTGAAACTCAAGAAGGAAGATTGAACCAAGCAACAAGACGTTTGACGCAGTGGGATCAGGCAATCGAAGCTTTGTCAAAGCCCAGTCCCCCTCCCCAGGCTGACGCCCGCTGCGAGTCTTCTAATAGCTGCCTCATCACGTGCAGCTCTGCGTGGCCTTCGGCGGCCATGGAGCGTGAAAGTCCAGAGGAAGAGTCGGAAGAATGGTAGAGAGGACTTGATGCAACCACGGAATGCAGAGAGTAAGTTTTGGAAGTGGAAATGGAAAGAAGATGGAGTTCCGAGCATTCCTTTGACCGTTCACTATGCAAAGGCTGAGTCAAAGATACCCAGTGACGTTGCAGTCGTGTTGCTGCATGGCTTTGGCGTAGCTTCCTTCCACTACGAGTCTCAATTCCTGCCCTTGAGTGACGCCGGGTACTCGGTCTATGCCATCGATCATGTGGGTGCTGGCCTCTCGTGGCCAGAGGTCGATATTGCCCCTGGTGGTCCGGAGGAGTTGCGAGAACGTCCTGGAAGTCAATGGGGATTTGGCCCAGCAGCGGAAAAGGGCTTTGAGGAGTTGGTGATTGGAGAGTCCTTGTGGGTGAAGCAAATCGCCGATTTCATCTCGGAATTCGTCACCGAGAGCAAGGTGATTCTGGCGGGCAACTCCTTGGGGGGGTACTTGGCGGTTCTGGCCACGGCATCGATGAGCCCGGAAACGGTGGCGCGAATTGAAGGTGTAGCACTCATCAATGCCACGCCCTTTTGGGGTTGGATTCCCAATAAGAGCAAAAATCCATCCCTTTATGAGACATTTCCATGGAAAGGCCGGCTACCCATCCCAGAGAATGTGAGAAATTTCGCCCTCAACTGGTACAACACCTTGCGCAATCCGGATTCCATCGAGTGGCTGTTGAACTTTGTGACCTCGAATCCGAGCGGTGTTGGACATGAATTGCCGGAACGAATTGCCGCCATGGCAGATCATCCGGCAGGAGCGGCGGCCTTTGCTCAGATCGTTTTTACGCCACAGGCGGACTTGACTTTTGATGAAGCCTTGGGCAAGGTTGTCGCGGACCAGATTCCTGTCCTTCTCTTGTATGGGCGTGAAGATCCATGGATTGTTCCCTACTGGGGTGCGCGGGCGTTCAAAGTGGCGGCGACTGGGGTCGCTGATTATTTGCAATTGTCGCCCAGTGGGCATTGCCCGCACTTCGAAACTCCGGAAGCTGTGAATGAGTGTTTGCTTCGTTGGCTTCAGGAAAGACATCCCATCCAAGGCCAGGCATCAAGGGATTTGTTGCCCAAATCCATTGGTGAGTCCTTCACCGTGAACGAACACGACGCCAGGGAGATTCTCGTCACACGACGAGGTTTACCAGAGCCATTTCGTGAGGGTGAGATAGCTTGGGATGAGTTGCCAGCATGGATCCAATCGCTTTTTTAATCAGTTTTTTTTGGAGGCACTGGGTGAAACATCCCCAAAAGAATGCCTCTTTGCAATGAAATTCATCATGCCTTAGCCATAGTCTTAGCCATGTAGGCCTTGCCCAAGGCGCCGGCGTTGGAACAGATGTGCGTCAGACCAGACCATCGATGAAAGATATATCACATAATGATCAGATCACTCTTTGACACTTCGGGAGTCCAATTCACTTTTGAAACCTGCTTCAGCTCAAACTGAGATGGTGCTTCCTCGTCAGCGAGAGCTGCTTCCCTAAAATTGCTGAACATCGCTTGTGACGGTCGCTAGCCTTTTGGCCCGTGTCCCGCGTGTAGTAGAGGAATAGCAAAAAACTTGCACTGCCCACACAAACCAGTGATGGGGTAAACGTGTAGATTCAAGAAGTCAAGAATGATGATTCCATCAGAAGGATCATTAGAGCGGGCGGCATAGTCCATCCAATGAAAAAACACCAGAACCATCCCCGGCCCGCCACCAAGTTTGATGTGGACGCTGCAACAGTTGAGTTTCAACCCTCTAGATCCAAGCTTTGACAGGGAGAAAGCAGTACCGACTCACAGAGCCTGCAGAAGCAGATCGATTTATCCTCCGATGAACATCTCACGTTTGGCAGATGGCAGATGAAGGTGCACTGAGTCTTTTGCTTCGTTCTTCCACTATTCTGACCCTCTATCTTTAAAGCATGGAATGCCAAGTGTAGAGTGCTACTTCCTCAATCCTCACTCGTGCAGGTGGACCGTCTTGGAGTCTTGTGTGCCAGGTGAGCCAGCATTTTCTATCACTTTTGCATGTTTCGCAACCCAACCCCCCCCACAACCCCCCCCAACCGCAACTGGAGACAGACCGCCATCAACTGCCACTTCTCAGGCTAGGTCTCTGCAGCCGCAACGAGGCAGTCCGCTATGCCCGAGCGAGGCTCAGGGTGCCCCGGTCCGCGGCGGGGGCCGCGCCCGGGCCGCTCCGCCTCGACCGGCCACGGCATCGACCGGGCCGAGGCTTGGGACAGATTCTGGTGGAGGGGCAGCCGGCCCAAAGTGCAGCCGTTGGGAGACTGAGAGGGGTCTAGAGTCTATGTGAGTCGGGTCAAGGCAAGTTTGGAGATGCACGGAACTATTTGGCATGATGTGGGTGAATCAGAGGTGTTCAGTTGCTTCAAATCAGCGACTGCAAAGTGATCCAAAGGACGTTTGTCGTAGACTGGGTTTGTCGTAGACTGGTCGTTGTCGTGCTAGAGCCAGAGAACAGCTTCGAGGTCCTTGTCGCCAGTGATGCCGCAATTGAACTGAGCCCACGAGCAAAACGGATGCAGGCCGGAGCCATGTTCATTCGATTTAAGACCGGCATAGCGTAAATAGATGTAAATAGTATAGTTTCAGCATGTTTCAGCAACATATCACATGCATGTTGTTTTTCTTGGAAGATCCATTGGATCAAGTCAGGCGCAGAAGGTCACCCTCATGTGCTCCACTTAAAGTCAGTTCGACTCTCGTTCGACTCTCGGAAAGACTTCACAAAAGACTTCACAAAGGCTTCACAAGCCCATGCACTACGCCAGCTGCCGAGCGGCTCCTGGAGTCCCTCTGGCGCGAAAGCTGCTGGTGCGCGGGAACCGTGCGACGCACGGGAACCGTTTGGGACGAAGGGTTTCAACTGTGCAGAGGCGTGCAGGTTTGGTCAGGAAACTTCCCTTCGCATGAAAACACCATATAAAGATTTATCCATAAAAGTCATTAAACATCCATAAACAAATCATACATATGATATCATATGATTAACTTGGAAAAAGTCCACCACCAAAAAAACGCTGAAAAACCGGACTGGGTCGTCAGCTTTTCCCTTCGATCCGTAGGTGCCAGAGAACCGAGCCAGAAGTTGTCGGACTCGACATGATCCGCGCCGGGCTGAGCGGCGCGACGCGCATCGCCGATGTCTCGCGCCGGGCTGAGCGGCGATGTCTACGGGGGCAGAGGCGTCAGCTCAGCAAGCTGGATGCTGCCGATGTCCTGGACGTGGCCTCGCTCGGCTCTTGGGAAGATCTAGGGGCTAGTACTTATAGATTCAATGTATTTCGTGGTCATATTGATGTCACTATTTATATGATGTTTTTAAGTGTTTTCTTTTTTAAAAAGAGTTTCCAGTTGCAATCATCATGAACGAGCGGAATCATCACTTCATGCTCAGGAGTGGCATGCTGCTTTTTTCACAGGATGGTCGTGCAACTGACTCAGCATGTGCTCCAGTATGATCCGGTCAATCTTTCAAGCCCATCCGATCGGACCAGATCGCTGTTGTGTCTCCACACGATATCGCCGCTGATGACCACTTCACTGCAGGTTGCAACGTGTGTATCTCGAGATCCACAGCTGGAGAAGGACCGTAAGAGAATCGTGAATCGAATGGTACGGACGTTCCGAATTGGGTCGCCTTCTTTTTCGTCTCCTTGGTCGCTATGTCGTTCTTCCATTCCTTTCCCGTCCATGGAACACCAAGGAGTACCGGATCGTCACAGCTGGGGAGGTGGGGAAGAACCGAACCGAGTCGCATCCCATGGGATCGCTGGACCGACGTCGCCACAGCTGCTGACGCAGGCGTCATCCAGCCAGGTGCGAGCACTGCAGCTGGGGTTGCAGGTGATTTGCTCCCAAGCACAGGCCGCTTTTTTTGGAAGTCGGAAGCTGCCGCAAAAATGCACAGGGCAGGCAATGAATCCATGTAGCCGAACTATAGTAGCCGAACTATAGCATGTTTAATGATGTTTTGCGTGCATTTCATTGAGTGTGTTGAGATGGGTACGTTTCTTGCTTGAGGGTTTATACCCCACAACTTGGAAGGAAGCAACCATCGCCATTTGTTTTTTTTTTCCTCCTTGAAGGTGGACCTGGAAAAGGGCTATGTTCCAAGAGCACAGAAGGTGCCAAGCTCAACGTTGAGCTTTACAGCTTGACTCCACTGATTCTTAGTGCCTGTCTCAAGGCCAAAGCTGCCCAAGATGCTCTGCCCAAACCAGAGGACAACAAGCCGGAAGTCAAACCAGATGAGTTCTCCATCATCCGTGTCACCATCAGCAGATCTCTTAGTTACATGGCTTCGCAATGTCCTGACATGGCTTTTTCCACAGCTTTGCTTCTCTAGATGTTCCTGAAGCATGTAATGAACCGCACATTTACATGTTCCTGAGGTGGAATTGTGACATCGACAATCCTTCGAGAAGTGTCACTCTTGCGAACGTTTAGTGACGAAATTCATCATGTTTCGAACCAACAGATGCTGAATCGATACTTTTTTTTTCATTTTCCCTTTGAACATGTCTAAACATGTCTGAAAAACGTTTCAAAACAGTGTTCACAGGTGTGCTCAAGCAGGGATCCTGATCTACTCCTTTTCAAGACTTCGGATTGGAGGAATCTGCAGGGACCCCGGAGGCATCGACTTAACCCTCCGACCCGGAAAATTGGATGAACACACCTCGAGCCTCTACCATGCATAATAGACCCAGGATGACCCAGGCATCTCAAAACATTTCCAAAAGCTGTTGGTTGGTTTTTGCTGAGTTCCTTTGTCGCCGTTCCTTTCGCCGTTCCTTTCGCTGCGGTTGTTCCTGCAGGGCTGTCAGCCACACACACTGAAATTGAAGTGCCAAGGCTTAGGTGATTTGCCAACTGGTGAGTGGACCGTTGTTTCGTGCCTCTCACTTAGCAAAATGGTGTGCGCACAAAAAAATACAAAAAACAAACATGTGGTCATGTGGAAGACACAGCAAAACCCGACATTGATGGCTTTAAGATCGTTGTGACAGATGCTGACATGGCTTGGTCAGTAGGACTCTTTTCAGACACCCTGAGCCGTCTGAGGCGTCGACGAACTGTTGCTGAGCTACCGGACACACTCCGAGCAAGGGAAAGTGGCGTTCTGGACGTTCTGTTGGTAAAGCTAAAATGACGTTATACTATGTATAAAGTGCAGATGAGGGTTCTGAGGACGCTACGACCCCATGCTCCATTTCAAGAAATGCTCACCTCGCTGCATTTCTTGCTCAGCTTAGCTTGTTGCGTTGAGGCGCCCCACGTAGGATCCAGGCCTTTGACTGAAACAAAAGCCTGGATCCGTGTAGAACACGACCTGTTCTGGCAGGCACATGGCAACGATTCAGTATGACGACGGCGGCATTAACAGGAGTCGGCTTGTTTTCGTTCAAGCTTCCGAGATCGAATTTGATGAGTTTTGTGCAACCAATTCGATCTCAGGATATCAAAGGCATTGACACAGCCAAAAGTGCAGGCATGCAGCCATCCGACGGTAACCTTTAGAGGGCTGATGGAAGAAGCCATTTTGTCAATCGAAAGGGAAAAACAAGCCCTGCGAACTTCCGGCGGTACAGCCTGATCATTCGAGAAATTGACATGGAAGACACAACTTATACAACTCGGTTACCAGGGCCCCCCTGTTGTTTGGGGTGTCTAATGAAAACGTCCCTTAGAGGTGATTCGGGCTGTCCATGTACCACCCCATTGCCCCGGGGGGCTCTGGGTGATTGTCCGATCCGCCAGGGAGCTTCCCAGGCTATGCTCCATGCAGTGGGCATGACACCTGAGGATCTTAACAAAGCTCAGGCGGGAGAGGTCAGAGGTGAACGAAGCTGGTAGGACAACGAGAAAGTGTTAGAGTTAGTGGTGGGCATGACATGCAATGGACAGAATGACATCATATGATGAAGGCAATGACATAGAATGACCAACTTTTGATATGACCAACTACATCACTAACTATACATCACTTTATCATTTGAACGCAACTGCAACACATCTGCAGGTGGGTATTGCCTCCGTGTGGTATCAGGGCAACCCTTGCAACATGCACTTGCTCTCCTTGGGTGAAGACGTGAAGAAGGAAGTTGACAAGGACAGATGACACCGCCGGTGCATCCGACCGACTGGTTGATGGTCGTTGTGCTTCGCTCTGCAGAACAGTAGCCAGGATCCATTGATGTATGGCTTCCAGTTCAACACCATCGGAGTATCGGATGGTATGTCCATGGGCACCAAAGGAATGATGTACTCACTTCCATCTCGAGAAGCTCTTCTGCACTGGTTTTCGCTTCCGTGATCTTCATTATGCTTTAGAATCAAATCGAATCTATCTTCCATTTCTTGTGATTTCTTTGATTTTATTGTTATTTCTATTTAGCAGCGACTTCGTGCCGTGCTGGGCTGTATCCTCTTTTGTTTGTGCGAACTGAACAGATCTTGTGTTTTTTCACTGTTTTGGGAACCAAGGAAATCATCGCAGACAGCATTGAATCGGAGCTTTGCTCAGAGATTCAAACGAGAACATATGGGTGTCAGTCTGGAATTAGCCGAACAACCAATGATGGCGATTGTCATTGCTGTGTGGGGTGGTGTTGGCACTATGATTGTTTTTCCGGTCTCCCTTCTCGTCGATGAAGATTGTGATGTTTGGGCTTGTCGAAGTTCCTTCCTTCCTTCCTTCCTCCCATGGTACAAGTGCACGGCCGGGGGGGCAGAGCAGAGGTGGGGTACGCTGCTGTCCCGGACAGGGTCAAAGAGAGAGCAACACACTTGTTCGCCTCAAGACTCAGACATTGCGCTTCACATCTCTGCACCGAAGCACTTTACACTTCTCCACATGTTCTGTCGCTCTTCCTCTCTTCTCCCTGTTGCTTCTCGCTGGTTACAATGAAATGACGCTCTATGCGAGTGTACATAACACCTTATGTAGATCGATACAGTAGATGTCTTGTGCAGTGCTCTGTAGTACGAGGCTCTTGCGTGCGCAAAAGCCGTAAAATGGCTCAGGCAGACAATTTCCAGAGAAGGGGAGTCCCTCCGGGAGGGTTGCGTGAGTAGAGCACATTCATGGTAGCAGAACAGTGGTTCTAGCAACGACAAGTTTGGGTGAGGTCCAACAAAACCAGCACAAGGCCTTAATGACAAGGGGAACAATGTACTGATTGTTGTTGGTTATTGAGTCGATTACTGGGTTAGTTGAAGAGACACAATATTGTCAGAGCTCTCAGAGAATCGTGAGACACGCAAAAGACCAGGTCGCTGCATGCGCTCAATGCGAGCCAAGGTGATGGGAGCCCAATTCTACGATGCCTTGGTGACAATTCCTGGGTGCGACAAGAACATGCCAGGTGCGACACGAAGAAGTCAGACGCTCGAGACTCTGGAGACCCCGCTCCAGGTGTTGAATAAGAACGCCTGTTGAACCAACATCTTTTCCGTGAAAGCATGCTTTCTTCATGTTGTTTTCGGTCTGTTGCTTGTGTTGCGTGTATGTTTACAACTATTTAGTGCAGAAGCTCAGCTTCAAACTCCATGTCATTGCCTCGAACTGATGCATCCCATCAGGCTGCGTGATGGCTATGATTCGCATGAACCGGTGGAGTTCTCAAAAACGAAACAACAATGCTCCAACCGACCCTAGTAGCAATGGCCTCCAACCGACCCGTGGAGTCAGTGGAGTCCACGGCTGGTCTCCTGAGACCATCGCTGATGCTCTATGGTGGCACTATTGCATCTGGCAGATCTTGCAAAGGGGAGGACCTTGACATTGTCTCCACTTTCGAGGCGGTTCTTTTCGGTTCTGTTCATGCGCACCTGGTATTTTCTTGAGAAAAGACGGGCCGACGGGCATTGGTATGGTATTCTTCTCCTGAGAGAGAAGTTAACTGGAGATGCTGTGCCTGAACTAGCTAGAGGGCTGATGTATGCCGATGGTATGCGACGTGTTGCAAAACGAGGCTTATGGCAAGTTCATTGCGGGCTCGATCACTGATGAGGCCAGTGTAGAATGACACCTGGTCATGTGTTGCTGCTGCTGCGGCTGCTTCTTCCTCTTGATATGTCCTGTGCCATGCAGGAGAGGGCAGATATCGTTCGTAAAGCTTGTCCCGGTCCCGGTGCGTGTGGCGGAATGTACACAGCCAATACCATGGCGACTGCAACAGAGGCCACCATGGGATACTATGATGGCCTGTTGCCTGGTATACTATGAGACTAGCATACCAGTCAACAGCCATTTGTATCATGGTATACTATGATGGCTGTTGTGCAGCGATACAGATGGCTGACTTCCGCCTGCAGGCCCTAGGCCTGTCGCTACCATATTCAAGCTCCTCGCCAGCAGCATCCCCTGAAAAGTGCCGATCTTGGACTTCTCCGGTTCGTCAATTTCTTCGAATTTGAGAAAACAACCGATGAGGCGAGCCGAGTGCGAGCGAGTTGCGAAGTGTGTGAAGGCACGGCACTGTCTTCACAAACACGCACTACGGTACATGGTTTCTATAGGTGGTCTTGCTCTCCTTGATTTCTTTTTCCATCGCGAGGCGATGTTGGAGAGGAACCTGAAACCATCGGACATTTTGACCAAGAAGTCCTTTGAAAATGCCATCGTCATCGTGAACGCTTTAGGCGCGACTGCGACGACTGCCGTGACGACTGCGATGACTCGGCGCTTCTGCGGCGCAGAGCCGCAGGAGGATCCACCAATGCGGTACTGCACTTGCTGGCGATTGCGGCCACGGCGGAGGCACTGAAGAGTAAGAGATGTTGATTATTATATGATATTGATGAAGTAGTAAGTATACTGGTCTTTGTATTTATTGTTAGAGTATGTTTTTGTATAATATATATATATGGCTGTGGGTCAAAGCTCAGATCGACCTGACCATCGATGACTTCCAACGGATCAGTGCCAAGACGGCGTTGATCGCAGATTTGAAGCCCAGCGGAAAGTTTCGAATGGAGGAGATTTGGTCTTTGATAACTGTGGTTTTTGATCATGAAGACGCTTCGATTGAGCATGTATGTGAGATCATGAACAGCATAAGCTATAAAGCAAAAAATAACTCGATGTTGAAAACGGGTGTGGGAGAACTCGCAAAAATCGATCTCATGCTTCTGCCAGGACGTTCACCGGATTGGTGGCATTCCCGCAGTGATGAAGTATCTGCTGAAGCTTGGGTGGCTCTATGGAGACTGCTTGACAGCCGCTCAGCCGAGCTATATGCATGCTGTATGCAAAGCTGCAGGGATTCTTCGAAACATCTATTTCTCACCCAAGAGACAACAGGCACATCACTAGTTCTAATTTTGATTTGTTGAGGTTTTGATCTACTTTGCAAACAGTCTTTTTTGGGGCCACCCTCAATCCATCAGATCTTGTCAATGACTCAACTTTAGCCGATAGCTAAAGCCATGCTGTTGAGTACCTGCGGCTACAATCAGCTGCAAGCAGATGCAAGCGTTTATTTATTGTGATGAAGTTATGCACATGTGACGCACGGCCGCATGTGACTTTTGACTTGACATCAGGTCACTGGCCAGACCATAGCGCAGAATTTGGCCAGCGTGCCTGATCTTGATTTTGGTGCGCAATCGGTGATCCTGCCTTTGGAGAGGCCGCGTTTGCTTGGGGTTACTAGGAATGGGTATTAGGCATAAACAGGCTCTTGGACTTCCAATGGACAAGTTGGGGACATTGCAAAAGACAGGTGCTTGCAGAAGTCAGGCAACCTGAAGATCTTGTCGCTTGGCATGGACTCTTTGATATACTCTTTCACTCTGATTGACAAGTATAGGCGAAGGCACTGATTGACAACGCGACGCATCGTGATTCCCTCAGGAGAGGGAACCTTTCCCCAGAAGGTTCAGTTGGCAAGATCACTGGCAAGGAGGCCGAAGCCGAACATCTCCAGTTTCGGATTTTCCGACGATCTCCGGTTGTCCAACATCTCCAAACTCCACACGTAGGTTGCTGCACGTGTCTTCGTTCTTGTGCTCCGCCACGGGTGCTCCGAGGGCACCTCCTTCACTGGGCCGGCCAACATTTTTGATGGAGAAGAAGCCATGGTGAAAGGCCTGGAACAAGGGAAGATCTCCAAGGTGCGACCGGCTCTGCCCCCGTGACGCCGCGGACGGGCGCGGGGGCTGACGGTCACGGTTCGCGTGGCGCTGGGTGATGCCGCAGGGAGGGTATGATCGGAAAATGGGAAGCAGTGACTGTAGAATGACTGAAGGGATCAATATTCGAATCTTGGTATAGGCATAGACAGACTCTCACCATCTCTCAACTCAACATCCACTGATTGGGATTGATTGGGTCATTGGTAGTGCGCTGAGAGGGTAAATCTGAACAATGCAAAACAATGCATGACATGCATGTTTGTTCCTGGCAAAAAAGCACAATTCTCGACCTGTTCGTTGCCAGACCTGTTCGTCCGTTCATGGCTTTCACCGTTAACCTTACTTGCATTGTATGCTCTTGAGCGACCCACCCTGGTCCTCGTGCTTGTTTGGAAGAACAATTACACTGAAAACACCTACTCCTACTATTTTTATGTTCATTTATGTTCTCTCCTTTCAGAGAAGAATAGGAAGGATGTTCTTATTATGCGTCCGCAGATTTCGTGGCAGGCGCAGTACTTGCGCAGCGCTTTGTGAACCTCAAAGTGCAGATTTCGTGGCAGGCACAGCGCTTTGTGGACCTCGAAGTTCAGATTTCGTGGCAGGCGCAGCAATTTGTGAACCTCGAAGTGCAGATTTCCTGGCAGGCGCAGCGCTTTGTGCTCTCAGATGTTCACACTCACTCTCATTCTCTCTCACTCTCATTCTCGCTCTCACTCACACTCACACTCACACACGCTCACACTCACTCTCACTCACGCTCACACTCACTCTCACTCTACTCTGACTCTCACTCTCACTGATCGACAATCATGAGGATTGTATGTCTCATATACGAACACGATCGTCGATGACACCTAATAGATACACGTCCTCAGCCGGTTAGAGACACCAAGTCTAACTCGTGAAGCCGACCGAAAAGTGTCTGTGGTTACTCCTTCTTTTTGGATCCAGTGTCGTTGAATGGTGGCTTAAGAGCAGTCGTCCGGAAAAACGCTCTGAGGACAGGTGGACGATGCGAGTCGCGTTGGCTGCAAGTAGCGTGGAAAACGCGGGAAGGCGTGGAGGGCGTGGAGGGCGCGGGAGGGGCCGTTGGGTGAAGGACACGACGCACGTGTCGGTGCGCTGTGGCAGTGAATGAGCGATCTCCAGCGTGTGGAGCAAGCTGCAGCAATGCAAGGGCATCAAGGAGCGTCTGGAGAACTGCAACGGGCGAGGAGTGCTGGACGCGCAAAAGAAACTGGAGTACAGCAGTCGCCCAAAGATGGTCCCAGAGACCTGAAGTACGCTCGACGCTCGGTGCATCTCGACGGAGCGCCCTGACGCTCCACGAAGGCATGTGCCGCTGTGCCAACGCTGGGAGTGGATGGATGGGGAGACTTGGCAGGGCCTCCAGATACTGAGGGCTGCGGCTGTGAGCCGTCAAGGTCGGTGAGGCTGCAGCAAAAAGCCATGCTTTGGCCAAGCGCTGTCAAGAAGGCAATGCCGAGGTCGCAACACAGGCGATGTCGGCGCCGGCAAGAACGGAGATGCTTCAAGTGCCTTCACTGCGTAACGGCTAAGGTGCTGTGCACGAGTGCCCGTCGACGTCCGAAAGCAAAGGAGTGTGTATGCAATTTGGCCGTTTTCGCTGTCAGCGTCTCTTTCAACTGAGACGCATCCAACAGGCAGCAACGCAAGTTGACCATTGATCCGGTTTCCAACAGCGTTTCCGTGGGTGAGCACTGCGTTCGTCTTTTCTCTCGCCTGGCTCCGTTCGGTTGGTCTCCCTTCATGTGTCCCTTTCCGTGTTCGTCTCTCACAGTGTCTGTCTTGTGTGCTGTATTTGTCTGTCTTTTTTGAGGTCTCTTCTTGTTGCGCTGGTTGGTAGTCCTTGTTTCTCGTTTGTTTCCCTTTGAGTCTGGTTCGGTCCTCGTTTTTGCTGGTCAGGTGTCCGTCTCGTTTTCTTTCTGTTTCTGTTTGTCCTTGTTTCCTTTTTCGTGGGTCATTGTGTCTGTCTTGTCTGGCTGTGATTTGCTCTTGTATGTCTTTTTGTCTCCCTGTCGGTATCCCTTCTTGTTGGTAGGCTGTGTGTCCGTGTAGTTTCCCGTCTGCTTTTGGTGGACTCCTAGTTTTTTGGTCATGGTGTCTGTCTTGAGTCTCTTCTGTTTCCGTTCGTCGCCTGTTTTGTTTCTCTTCTTATTGGTCATTGGGATCGCTTTGTTTCCCGTCTATTTCTTATTGTTTCTGGTCGTTTTAGTTTCCGTGTGTTTCTTTTTGTTTCTCATCTTGTCTTCGCGCTTGTTAGTTATGGTGTCCATCTTGTCTTCCTTCTTGTTGAGGTCGCAAAAAGTGGACACGGGGTGTACAGGTTTGGGGAGTGGTTTCGGACATGGTTGTGGGTAACTCGCATGGGACGCTCGTGGCGGCAACGCTTCGAGCAGAGTTGGGGGAGACACTCTTGTAAGACACTCTTGCGGGCGAAGCGTGCAAAGACAGAACATTTGGTTTGCGTTACAACAAGCTAGCCAACCAACCAACGCACCAAGCAAAGGAAGGGGGGTGAAAAAGGAAGGGTCGACGGTCGAGGGTCAAAAAAGAAAGGGTAGAGGGTGGGTGAAAAAGAAAGGTTGAGGGTGGAAAAAAGGGCGGAGTGAAAAACAGGTTCAAGGGTGAAAAAAAGGTTGCTCGAAAAAATTGGGGGCCCAGCGTCAATCTCCAAAAAGCACGTCATCACTCCATGCTTTCTTCGCAGGATGACGTGGCTAAAATCAATGCCGAGCTGTCATTTATGCATGTTTGAACATTTGGCCGATCATTTTTCTCCTATAAAAACAACCACTTACTAGACATTGCACACCTGTAGGGCATTTGGCCAGGTCGGCGCGCAAGTCGTCCGCACTCCGGATGACTGCGCAGCGAAATGTGCCTGTACAGGGAGCCACAATGCTTCAACTTCTCTGGAGCGAAGTTGCTTGTCCTGCAAGATTGGAAAAATCCGCATTTTCTGAAAGCTCTTGCAGTGCGCCAGCACAGTCTCTTAGGCTTCGGCTACAAGTTGAGCGTGCGGGTGTGATGGACCTTGGCCTCTCCTGGTCGCAGGGTACCAGGCACAGTATATTAGGATAGACCGAACAAAAAAATCATAGACTCTATGGATAATCCTCCTTTGTACTCACGGGGATTATGGATAGCTTTAGAAGAGCGAATGGGAGTTGCCCAGCGAGTGACCCAGCAACTTTGCTTTTAAGGAACCCCCTTAACTTTTATGCGCCAAAGACCGAAGACGCACGCCGCGCAGAAAATCCGCATAGTTCGACCTAACAGCTGCTTGGCGCTGTTTCTTTTGTCTTCTCTGGGGTTCTTTTGTTGATGTCTTTGCTCGACTTGTTCTATTGTGTTTTCACTCCGACTCACTAACATGGAAGTGGACAACCACTTGCTTATTACTTCTTTAAATCACAACTACCTGCAGTCACTGCCGCAGGTCGGCATGGGTCTGGCGCCGGGGTGTCGCGTATTGGAATGTGGAGCTGTTTTAGCAACCACATTGGCTTGAAACGGGCCAAACGGTTCGTCGTAACCTTGAATGATTCTCAGGCTGGCTCCAGCTGGGCCCTGGCCGGTCTGCTCACCCCTGCAGGAGGTGGCTTCGCCTTTTCCTTTCTGGCCCATCTCTTCAATGCCTTTGCTGCACTACACTTTTCGCACGCATTCCCGAAACAGCTCTTTTCTTCTGGTTTTGCTTTGTCTCCAAGCTCCTTTGCCTTGGTTCTTCCGGTGCCAGGAGCTTGCCGCCAATGAAGGGTGGATTGCTGATTGGCGCGCGCGCTGCGGGGCGTTGCGTACACTTGGTTGATTTGCAGACTTGTGTGTATACCAGCTCACGCAAAGGTTGTCATACCCAACCGTAAACCTTACTTGCGTTGCATGCTCTTGAGCGACCCGCCCTGTCCTCTTGCTTGTTTGGAAGAACAATTACACTGGTTACACCTACTCCTACTATTATGTTCATTTATGTTCTCTCCTTCAGAGAAGAATAGGAAGGATGTTCTTATTATGCGTCCGCAGATTTCGTGGCAGGCGCAGTACTTGCGCAGCGCTTTGTGAACCTCAAAGTGCAGATTTCGTGGCAGGCACAGCGCTTTGTGAACCTCGAAGTTCAGATTTCGTGGCAGGCGCAGCACTTTGTGAACCTCAAAGTGCAGATTTCGTGGCAGGCACAGCGCTTTGTGAACCTCGAAGTGCAGATTTCGTGGCAGGCGCAGCACTTTGTGAACCTTGAAGTGCAGATTTCGTGGCAGGTATACAGCACTTTGTGGACCTCGAAGTGCAGATTTTGTGGCAGGCGCAGCACTTTGAGGTGTTCACTCAAGCTCTCACTCTCTCTCACTCTCACTCTCGCTCTCACTCACACTCACACTCACACACTTGAGCGCTCACACTCACTCCCGCTCCGACTCTCTCTCTCACTCACTGATTCACTTTGAGTCACACTCACTCACACTCACACTCGCTCTCTTTCTCTCACTCTCTCATTCTCTTCCGTGCCGTGACTCGTGCCAGGGCGATTTCATTGTGATTCGTCATGAGGGCCCAAAGGGAGGCCCTGGAATGCGAGAGATGCTGACTCCAACGATGCTCGGTGTCCTTTGGGAGCAGATCGGGCTCGGGGGGTGTTGGGGGGTTGAAGGATGGTTGGGAGATGCAAGAGAAAGATCGAGGAGTGAATTAGTTGCCGCCCAAAAACCAGGTTGACTTCGGTGCTTTTGGGGGCGTTTGACTCATGGGTATTGACTCATGATGCAGCAGGATGGTTGTGAATGTTGAAATTGCTCAAAGATGCTACCCGTGGCCTTGCTACGACGACTGCAATATAGAGTATAAACAATAGCTGGAACAAATGGATGTATGTTTCTCAAAGATTCTCGGATGGGAACTTGTCAGATCTAGTCTGAATGTTATTTTAATGCCAGTGTTTTCCCAACAAGATAGTTTGCTGAGGAGCGCCATTATGGGTGCGGGTTTGGGAAAGTATGTGGCACTGATGACGGACGGACGCTTCTCTGGTGGATCGCATGGCTTCATCATTGGTCATGTTTCTCCAGAGGCAAGGCTTGGCGCAAAATCATGGGCCGGGTCGTATCTATCTATCAATCTATCATGTGTGCGGGTTCGGATTCTTTCTTTCTGACCTTTCTGCAAGCACGCCCCAGGCATTGGGTATTTGAAGGGCTGCAGATGTTTTGATGCGGAAGTGGATTGTAGAGTATGCATAGGATCGGCCCACATTTAGCCTTGCACACGTCCGACCTTCGACCAGGCATGGGTCGGCGGACCCATCGCGCTTCTTCGAAATGGTTTTGGACTCAGCGAAGCCCATCGCGCCCATCGCGATTCCGTGCGCCCGCCGCCCACGGCTGGAGGAGACAAGATTACTGTGGATGCCGAGAAGTTGCAGCTCACGGTGGATCTCTCGGAAGAGGAGCTGAAGTCCCGAAAGGATGCGTGGAAACAACCACCTTTGCCAGTGCTTTGGACTGCATTTAGCACTGCATGGCAGCGCAAACACAGGACTGTTTGCTGTAATAAATATAGCTATATATATATTATACACATTAATTGTGTGCATTTCACTTGATAGCTTCAAATGTTGAATATGACTCGCTGAGGTGAAAACAGGATACCTGGCCAAATACGCACGGTTTCGTAGCTGCAATTTGGAGAAGAAAAACAACCAGTCACCAGTCTGTGCTTGATTGCGAAAGCAGAATGCCCCTGCATTTGCCACGAGGTTAGTGTCATCGGCTTCCTTGGGATGTTTAACAGATCGATGAGGTGCACTGCGAACTCTTTGGCTGTGTGTGTGCGCTTTCAATGTTCAAGTCTTGGACTAGACAGTGCGACGTGACTGTCCAGTCGAGTAGTTGACGGACTCGTTCAGGAAAGATCCAAAGGCTGAGCTTTACCTCGACAGGTTCGTCTGAGATTTTTGAATTCGAAGACTCCTCGGTCGACCGATCTATCAACATACCTCGCCCCCCCAGCCTTCGGTGACTGGGCATTTGAGAGCGGGAAAATGGAACAGTTCGCATCCAATTTGGATCAGGGAATCACACGATTACTGTATGGAAATCTCTTGATGTCAGTCAAACACACAGAGAATATACTACTCCTACTGTATGGAAATTTTACTGTATGGCAGTCAAACACAGAGATTACATGGTCAGTCATGCGTTTGAAGTTGTACGGTACTTGTTTTTCACATTCTCCGGCCGTGACTTGTGCGGCTCTTATATCAATGGTCCAACCATGTCAGGCCATGAGACTTCACGATTGGTCACCGAAACCAGAGGCTTCAAGATCCACCGAAACCCAGCATCAGAGACCACTTAGAGACCGGCAAGAACCTGGCCAGATGTCCAAAAGCATCCTATAGCCATACAAAAAGTGTCCACATGTGCCATGGCATTCTGCAAAACAAAACACACGTTGGTCACTTTGACAGCCCGAGCTCATTTGCTCATTTGCTTCTCCACAGCTCGCAGCTTGTGCTGGGCCCTCGGGAAGGATGACGACTGGGGTCATTGAGTCATGGCCGCTACTTTGTCAAGAGCTGTTTGGTCTTGACTAATTAGCGCTTTTGATGCTGCCGCCGCCATCATGGCCATGGCCATCAAGAAGCTGTTTCAGGGCAGAAGGTGCAAGTCACAAAGGAAACGCCAGAAATCCGAGTCTCACTCAATAGGATACTAGGCTGGGTCAGGGTCTGTCCATGTTTGTCCTATTACCTGTAGCAATCGGTAAACAATTATTATAGTACTATTCTAGAGAAAGGCCTGTAACTGAACCATCATTTCCTACTGGTAATGGGAATATATATATATATATCCACACCCAAACTATAGGTTCCATCGTGTTACATAATTAATATATTTCCTTAAATATATGATTACTCTAGTATGACAAGGCAGAATAAACCTTAATGACCTGCGTCACTTGGTGCCAAATCTTGAGGCGCACAGCATGACCGGTAGCCGCCCATCCCAGGGCGCCAAGTGCCTTGGAGAAGATCCGAGCCTGGTGAATCAAGTATTGCAGGTTCTTCATGAGACACGAAAAACGGCACGAAAAGGTCATTTCAGAAGAGCAATGCAATTCAACAGATCCTAATGAATCCACCCCAAAAGGAGCTCGATTTGCTCAACTGTTGATCCATTCATTGATCATCATTATTCATTTCAGACACACATGTGGGGAATCCAACCTTGGACTCAGGCGTCGCCGTCAGTCTCTGACAAGCAGCAGGAAGGCCAGTAGAATGAGAATGAAGCTGTTCAGATGCTTTGAAACACAGACCTTGTAGCAGCTTAAACTGTACCTATAAACGCGCGAGAGTTTCTATGAGTTCTACTTGTGTACTTTCATTTATGTTTCTCTTTCTTGTTATTTTTTTGTTCCATTCAGATACCGCAGATACATCTCTCGAAACTGTTTTTTGTCTTGGAGTATGAACTCTAATCCTCTAGATATCCCTAGGCTACACTGGTAGATGACAACTGTTTGGCTAGCAAACATGTTGAGACCCACGTTGTGTATCGTTTTGTCCCTTTCTTTCCATCCCTTTGGGCTTTTCAGCCACGTTTTTTGGCTTCACAATATCAGGTTCAGCGCCGGGCCATCGCAGCGCCCTTCAGCTTGGAGCCCAGCCGTGGAACCCACACATCAAGCGAAGCAAGTCTTGGAACCCGTTGGATGAGTTCCGTTGGACGGAATGGAACCTCCAAAAGACTCGCTTGATCGCTTCAACCTGGTCATGCGATGTCCTCGACCAGGTCGCCCCTGCCCAGCTGATGCGGTGGATGCAGGCGCGATGGGCGCGGCGCGATGGGCGGGGCGCGATGGGCGCGGCGCGACTCTACCAGGTCTTCTAGAAGGATGGCTCTTTTCATGTTGGTTTCTGATTCTTCACATGACAGGGCCATGGTATCGAATGGCGCGAGCGAAGAAGGTCTTCATCTACTCCATCTACTTGTTCTTGGTATATAGTATATAAATATATGGGTGGAATATTGGAATTGGGTGGACACTGGTGGACATCGTGTCCTCCAACAAGGTGCTGCCTTGCTCGTGGGGGCCTTGGCCTTCGGGCCATACCACTGCATTGCATCAGCCGGAGCCCGAGAGACGAGATCATGAGGCATCATGAAACGCACCAAAAAGGCGTGCAGAGATGTGCCAAAGTCATGAAAGCCTTCTAGAATCGTCTACGTCCTTCATCACATGTATAATACTGTATATATAGTAATTACGTAACAAAACAAATACAATTATAAAATAATATACATGGTCTTGTCTTGCATACGAACTTACAAACAGTCTGAAGACTTCCATCCGAAGAAACCGTCGACTCTCTCCTCGACCGCGGAACCGTTTCCGACGTCGTACGTCGTTCTCTCTCTCCGCTGAGTTTCTGGACACGCGCTCCCTGGGGCGGACGGATCGATCCTGCAGGCGCTGAAACGGAAGACAGAGAAACGCCGAGCCACAAGAAACGAGAGCGGAAGCCGCGGGTATGACAGGGGAGAGAGAAGGATGGTCGGAATGATGAGGAGGGTGAAAGGACTTTGAAAAGAAGAACACAAGGGAAAGAAGGATGAGGAAGGCTATAGTGACGTCACTATAGATGGATGGAAGAGGGGAGCAAGAGGCCGAAAGATATCTTTTTCCGGTTGGGAAAGATTACGAGGTACTTGAGACGCCTGAATAACGTCACGAATGGGCCGGTGCCTTAAGCGATGGACTTTCGGTCGCCTTTTCACTTCTGAAGAGTCAGTGACTGACATGTTTGGTTTCATGTGCCAGTCAGAAGATGTCACTTCAGGCCCTGGCACAAGATTGGAGAACAAACTTTTTTCGGCATGGCGGCGGGCTTAGGGGGTGCTTTTCCGACCTGTTTCAAAACATTCTTTCCTTTTTGCGCACCAATAGAACGAGCGGCTCGACTTTTGTCACAGCTACTACCGGCTTGGCAGAAACAGCAGCTCCTCCGGGCTCGTCCAGGTCCCCCAAGCCTTGAGTGGCACCTTCAGACCCACACGTCCAGGCCGTCGAACCCCCCTTCCACACATCAGGGCGTCCAGTACTATTAACCACCATCACCATCCCCCTAAGGCCTTCGCAGCCGTTGGGGGACTCCCTACTCGCCGCTGGTCGGTCACTTGCTCAGGAGATTGATGAAGGTGGCTTCAGCCTCTTCGAGGTACGGAGACGCGCCCGTCGACCGTTCAGAACGCGCGCAGGTCGCAAAGTCGAGAGAAGAGAGAGGATGATCGAGAGTGATGATGTGCCATGTGTTTGAACTTCGAGAGGTTTGGGGGGTTTCCAGTTTGACCACATGCTTCATTTGGTTTTGACGGATCCGTTTTGGGGGTCCGCAACTCCCCGTGTCGTTGTTCGATTGGCCAGGCATGTGGCCCTGAGAGTTGGAAGGCCATGGCACACAGACCATGGCACGAATGAGTGGATGAGGATTCATGATCACAGATTCTCAGATTCATATGGAGGAGTGAAATATTAGTGAAATCATCATTTTAAGTCAAACTGTTTTTTTTCATGTTGTTCTTTTGGCGGAGAACTGGAACAGTGGCTATATGGATATGCGAATAGTGGCTGAAGTTTTGAGAGGCACGGTGTGAGAAGTTTCGTGCGACTCTCAGGCAGAAAAGAAATCCGAGCATAAATGTATGGTTTGCTCACCTCCAAGGCAGAATCACACCAACCTTCAGCCCACCTTTCTGTGGTTTCTGCCTCAGTATTCCCTGTGATTCAGATTTGCATGCCGAGCTTTTTGGCTGCTGACTTCTTCAGGCTCTCAGATCGCACAAGTGGATAGCCCTGATGAGGCCCCCTTCTGGGTGTCTTCTGGTAGGGCAATGCTAGCACTTCTAGCATGCTTTTCTATGATGCTCTCACAGCCCCACGAGCTGCATCAAGCTGGGTTCTAGATGCCGCAGGTTGCCTACTGCAGGTGCCGACTACGTTTGGGCACTTGGACTGCCGGGAGGGTTGTTGCGTGCGGACTGGGGTCATCGTAAGGCTCAGACATCCTGGCCAAGAACCCCAACCTGGGGGTCTACGTGGAAGTTGAGGTGGAACTCCGACAAACATGAAGATTCACGGAATCATGGTTGACGTTACCAGGGTTCCCATAGATGTTACTATCGGGTTACCTTGCAGGTGTATTTTTTGCAGATTCCTGTCAGTTTGTGAACTTGCTATGCATCTACTATGAGTCTATACAGACAGAGTCTATGGTGTTTTTGCCATGCAAGCCACTATTTGCTGAAGTTGCTTGGGCTTCGTGCGCCCGAATGAGGGAACCGCGGTCAGGCGACCGCAGTCGCGTTAAGCTTTGGCAGGTCCGCGCCAACGCTGATAATTTGAGTTTGGCGGTGGTGGACTTTGAAAACGGCGGTCGAAGCAGTGAAGATCTTAGTTCCCCAACGATCGTGATCTTCACGTTTACGAACTGGTCCAAGAGATGAATTGACGCGAAGTCGGATGAATTGACGTATGTTTCTTTGAGGTCCATATCTAGATAGATCAACCCATCCTTTTCTCAGCTCATTTTCCAAGATAATACGATATGTGTTGTTTGCTTCAATTCGCTGTTATGCTTTTTCGGCCTTTCAACCCTGGCGGTCTTTCCAGGCGTGACCTTCAGTCCAGAGACTGGGGCTGTGCTGCGTCGCGGCCCCGACCCGACCGCCACCCGGTCGATGCGCGGCGCGACGTCGCGACGGCCCGAGGCGAGCGCAAAGTGCGAGAAAGTCCTCGAGCCATCGAGGGAACGTGCCGATCCGCGAGAAGGGCGTCAGAAAGCGAGGAAGCGAGAGAAGTCGCGAGAAGCGTCGCGAGACGCGAGATCGGAGAGGGGGACGACACGAAAGTGGAGGGACGAGCGGGAGATGGGTAGGGGACCCAAATGGAGAAATCAGGGTATTGGAGCTTTAGGAAACGTTTGGAAGGAGTGAAGGTTTGAGCCACTCAGGTTGGCAGGTCTCGGTTCAAGGAAAGAGTGCAACAAATAAAGCTCCATTGTTACAGTTGCCATGTTCAAGTTTTAAGTTATGACATTGTTCGGCGGATGCAAGTTGTGAAGAGCAGTCTGGAATGGCTGAGAGGGAATATCATGAATATCCTAACTGAATGGCTGAGCAGCACTGACCTTGGGTGATTTAGCCACAATGTATAGGCCTGAAAGCTATCAGCCGAGAATTCTTTGAGAGAACAGTGGACGATCAACTGAAAGATCTGAAACACTCCCCCATGGCGAAACCTCGCGTTGTGTCGGAGCTGCTTTGGGACGGATTGCTATGGCTCGTCATGGCTGGCCACGTGTTCCTGAGCCCCTTCACCAAGGTGGAGGAAAGCTTTAACCTACAGGCATGCCATGACAGCTTGCTGCATGGACGAAACATTCAGCAGTGGGATCATTTACAATTCCCTGGCGCAGTCCCCCGCAGCTTCCTGGGTGCTTTGGTCGCCTCGTGGATCGCCTTTCCCATCTCGGTGGGCCTCAGCAATCCAGCTCTACTCCGAGTGGTGCGACTGGTCGTGGGAAGCCTCTCGGTCCTGGCTCACGCACGTTTCCGTGCGGTGCTCACGGCTGAATGGGGAGTGACGGTGGGTCGTGTGTTTGCCTTGTTGACCATCACACAATTCCACTTGCCCTTCTACATGAGTCGCACCTTGCCGAATGTCTTTGCACTTCAGATTGCCACACTTGCACATGCCGAGTTTGTCAAAGGGACAGAAAGATCCGCATACACATGCTTAGTTCTATTGAGCTTGGCAGCTGCGATCTTTCGATGTGACTTGCTAGTGTTGATAGCTCCCGTCGGCCTGTTACTCCTTTGGCAAAGACGAGTGCAGTTTCTGAAAGCTGCAGTTGTGACAGCGTTGGCAGCTTTGGCCGGTGCACTTTTGTCGATTTCCGTGGACTCCGTACTATGGCAGCGTTGGCTTTGGCCAGAGTTCGAAGTGCTTTGGTTCAATACGGCGGAGAACAAGTCGTCAGAATGGGGGACTGAGCCATTCTTGTGGTACTTCTATTCTGCTTTACCAAGAGCACTCTTGGGCAGTTTTCCCTTGGCGGCTCTGGCAGTGCTTGTTGAGCCAAGGGCCCGCATGCTTGTTTGGGTGGCAGGGGCATTTATTTTGCTCTATTCTTTCTTGCCGCACAAAGAGCTACGCTTTATTTTCCCCGCACTCCCATTATTGAACGCAGCAGCAGCTTCGACAGCTGCAAGGGTCTGTCGGTTCAAATGGCTCAAGCCTCTTTGGCAGTTGGCCATTGCTGGCCTCTGCAGCGGGAGTTTCCTTGGGACCTGTGTCATGAGTTGGGCATCGTTTGGCAACTACCCTGGAGGTGTTGCAATGGCAGGTCTTCATTCCATCGAGAAAGCCTCAGCACCACTGTCCATTCACATTGGAAACTTGGCTGCCATCTCTGGTGTCTCTCGCTTTCTAGAAGAGCGACCAAACTGGCAGTACTCCAAGGAGGAAGGTTTGTCAGTAGAGGCATTGAGCAATGCAGGCTTCGACCGCTTAATCTCAGAATATCCTGAGGTGCCAGGTTATCACTGTATCGCACAGGTCGACGGCTTTGAGCGGTTGCTCCTCTCCAAAGCCTGGCCTCCCATTACTGCCAAGAGGCGTCCACAGATCTTTGTGCTGGCGAAGTCCGACGGCACAACCATCAAATGTGATGAGCACTTTCAAAGATGGAGTGCCGCAACTCATCCAGAATACCAGACATTGCAGCTCCTGTCGGCGTGACAACGGTTTGCAACCAGACGAGGCCGCGAAAAGAAACAGAGTCTCGGCGCGCCGAGAACGCCAGTGCCCACAGTGCGGTCAGTCGGTGCCGGTCACCGCAACAACCATGGAAAACAACTTATTCTTAACTTCTCAGAGCGAACGAGTACCCAACCCCAGCACACTCCAAAGAAAGATTGTTCCAACCCCAGCACACACTTCTCAGAGCTAGAGAAAGAGTGTTCCCCCAAAGAAAAGAACGACGCATCGAAGTACCCCATGCCTTGCCACACTCCTCCATGCCTTGCCTGCAGTATTGTGTGTCTACATGTTGCATGGCTATTGTATTTAGGGTGTGTATAAAAATAGGAAGACCTCACCAAGACCTCCCGAAGACCCCTTGAAAAAGGAAGATAGACCCAAACATGCCCTAAACCCATTGGTTGAGTGTAACCCTATATAAAAATACCTTCCTTCAGTCCAGTTCCACATGTTCGATGGCACGAAGCAGATCAGCGATGGAACCCGATTCACCGGATGGGGGGGGCCGGCTTATGGAGCGATTTCGCAGGTACATCCACCTGCTTCCACCAGCGCCTCCGGGTCGTCGTTTCGAGGCCCACGGCTCGACGGGTTTGGGATGGTTTGGGGGGGGGGTAGCGGTGGATGTGTGGTGTTTGATGGTTCTCTGACACGTGACACATATCAAGAGTGAGCATGAACCAAATGCTGACAAAGTATAACAAAGCAGATAATAAAGCAGATCTATACAACATTCATCACATTGGACGGAACGTTATTTTGAGGCAAGTCGCCCTATCTGGGAAGACTCTTGCACATCTCATTTCAAGGCTTCCCAACATAAGGATTGTGGTTTCTGGATTGTGTCCTCTTGAAATTCAGCATTGTCGTATCTGCCAGGGCGCAATGGGTTTATACCTACAAGGCTTGGTCAAGACTGAACTCTGTGATGCTCTTTTGCCGCACCATATTTTTTGAAGCTTCACCAGGTGGCCAGCTGGCTTTCTTTCGTCAATGGAGAAGCGGAAGTGGAACTGAAGAGGCACCGAAAAGCCCCGCCCCCGCCCCTGCCGCGCCGTACTCGTAACCGTGCGGATCCGTGCGAATTCCGTGCCTGCCGCGGTGGAGGCGAGCGGTGACAGCGCCAAATGGGTGAGCAGCTGAGGAAATCGGAATCACAAGTTCAACAGCAACAGCTGAGGGATGACCTCAGGGTGGGTATCTTTTGAATCAGGTGTCAGTGAATGTGAATGTCTTTTTGATACCACCGGCTTGCCATCAGGAAACCACCGGCTTTTGCACCGACTTGAGGTGGGGAGCCGAACCGAGCCGAACGGAGCCGGAGCCGAAACCGCACGAACCGCGCAGGTGGGCGCAGGGCCCGAGGCTCTCGTTATGCAGGAGACCCCAGCTGTCCACACCGAGCTGTGAGTTTGGTTGAAGCAGAGCGCAGATTTAGACATGGCATCTTCACATGGCATCTTCACATGGCATCTTCACATGGCATCTTCATTTCTGAACGGAATTGGTGTATTCCGGTTCTTCGGGTCGTCTTCACCTGTCTTCTTCGTCGCCTCTCAGGTTTGGCTTTCCGGGACACGGGAGCCTATCGCGCTCTCATCACCCAGGTGGGACCGACCCGTCGGACTGACTGGGTCGATTTGACTGACTGGCCCAAGCAATGGTCTTGATATGTCTTGATGTCTTCAGGTTTTGGGTGGTAAACATGAGTAAACATGTCTTGGGGTTCAAGTTCAAGATCCAAGATTTCGTTTCGGAGGTTCATGCATGCCAATGTCTACAGGTGAACAACACTCCGCCCTTGCAGCCCCTGCCCTCTGTGGATGCCTACAAGGATTTATCACTTTTTGTTTCAGTCCGTATATGCATTGCATACGGCATCGATCGATGCATCCGTTCTTGTTTGATCCGTTTTCAGCTGTTTTCCAACCCCGGCACCGTAGAACGGCACCGTAGACGGTAGTTCCTTGAGGAGTCCAAATGGAGCCTTCTCTACGGGGACGACGATCATCCCTTGGCGATCTAAAGCCAAGCGGGCAGCTCAACGGATCCACGGCGATCGAGGCGATCGGCACCTGCCCTGACTGCTTTCGCCCAGGAAAGTCTAATTCTGAATTCAGCAATGACCTGACTTTTTACCATGCAAGTGGTGCTCTCAGCGTGCCTCTTTTCTCCGCAGTGTCCGGTGGAGAAAGAGCCTCATGTCGAAACGTAGCATCTCATTTAGCGAGGGCCAATGCTTCTTCGCAGTTGCATCTTGCGATGACCTCAGATGACCCCGCTTGGTGCGGCAAACTTGGTACGGCACCGGGGCATTTGCCAAGGCCGAGATCTGATGATTTGCACCAAGGCCAACTTCGGTCCACATGTCTCCCACCGATATGGGTGTGTAACTTTAGTACGGCTCGCGAAGACACCCTGAAAGATCCTGAAAGAAGGGAAATAGACCAAACCCCATTGTTTGGGGGTCCCCCTATAAAAAACACACCCATATCCATCGATCCAAAACCCTTTTGGTTCTCGTCGTTCTTCCGATTTGACTCGCCAGACTCCAGGTGGTCAGTGTGTCCTTCCAGCTCCTCGGTGGGCTTTCTCTCCACGGGGAGATAGAGGGTCACTGGATTGCCAGACTCCAATGTCGGAAACCATGGTGACAGCAAGTGTCTCGACCTGCCCTGTTTCTGACAGATTCACTTCCGTGCCAGAAACTGAACCACTCCTGTCATTAGGAAAAAATTACACGCATATAGAAGTTAAATGAGCCTAAGAGAGGGCTTTTCACGACTTCAAGTTTGTCAGAAACCGCGAGCTGCTTAAATTGAAATGAGCAGTGCATTTCAGAAATTCGGACATGCACGACCTCATGTTGAATGTCTTTCGCCAATGACAGTGCTCCTTGTCCAAGTGGACATTAATTGTGGCACTGCAGGAGTAGAGTCCTATTCAGAAGGTATCCAATGATCACCTCAACGCGGAACCCGCTTTTATGATCCTTCCAATGCCTCTGAAACGTGACGAACATCCCGGTCCTCGCCCCGTCGGGTGCCTTCTGAATGATCCGCAACGTGACGCCCGCGAAGACTACGCCCAAACATGATCCGCGTGCCTGGTGAAGTGCCTCAGACGTCGCAGTCGAATTCGTCGGACTATCCGCACGATGCCTAACTCTGTTTCCAGATGGAAACAGGACCAACGCGAGTGTTTAGAGTTGGTCATGATGTTTGATGGCGCGGCAGGTGGCTTCAAAATGCAAACATAGACATGTGAACAGTTCCCTGCAAGGGTTTGCAAGCACAAGAGCTATTAGTATTTTCAGGTGGGCTTACTAGGTATTTGGGATCCTACACCATGTGCAGCATGATAGACCCTAAGCCATTTGCATCCAGTTGCTACAAACTGCTGTTGGGTTTCAAGAACCTTAATTATTCAAAGCGCAGACTTCCGCAACTGCACCCATGAAGGGACTGCAACTTGTTTTTGTGAATCCTTCCGCCGGGCCTTCATGGCGAAAAGGTCGAAGGCAGGGCCTCATGCTTCCTAACTAAGCTTGCTGACTGAGAAACTACAGGTGTCCAGTAGCTGGGGTAGAAGCAAGAGTAGTTGGGGATTTCCTACAGATGTCCACATACTACAGTTACTCAACTACAGGCTCCGGACGAGACTAATTGTTTTCGTGTCACGATGTATTGCGAGGCCGGGCCTTTATACATCGTCTATTGCTCAGAGGTTAGTTAGGAGATGTTTGGAGCATACGTCACCGGGAGTAGCAGACGAGAGGGTCGATGCTGGCAGCACATGCAGCACATGGCACATGGCACATCAGCAGTGGTCTGATGGACCCGAGCCAGTTCGTGGAAGATTTGATCTGCTTTCGTCACCATCGCTTGATCGGAAAACCATGCTAGGTTGAACACCTGGAGGAGGGCCTAGGTGAATGGTGTCGTTGGAGCCTGAACTTCATCCTGTTGCTTCTACCAATTGTATATGAAGAGTTCTGAAGAGTCCTTTCATTCGCGGGTTTCAACATGTTTCAACTATTCTTCTGACCTGTTTGGACTTTGCGTGTTGTTCCCCACCAGAGTTCTGCTTGCAAAGGCCTCGAGTACAAGCACATGGCCTCGTTCGTCTCACACTTGGTGAGAGCTGTGAGATGAAACAGTCAGTTTGACACACCAAGCTGAACAGGAAGCAGATCGCCCTATGTTTTGACCTAACCCTAGATGAGTGGCAGGTTGGATCATGTTGGCTTGCATCCTCTAAGGGTTCGGTATGGTTGCGGCAACGGTTGCATGATGTGTGAAATAGCACTCCACTCCCTCCTCCTGAAATCAAACCGGTTCCCAAAATTGTACATATAGGATAGGATCATATAATATAAGGTCTTGCATGCTTGCAGGACATTCCCTTTGCCATCACTTGTTCTTGAGAAGGGATTGCCTGTTCCTTCCAGTGAAGCTCATGGAAACGACGCCAATTTCTCCGCAGCCGTTCTCGATCTGCGGCCGCAAAAGCCTGGCCAGCTTGTACTAGACTCAGAATATTTGGCGTGCCGCCTGTGCGATTTCCCTGATGTTCGCCGCACAAGTTGATTGGCGCAAGACGATGTCATGAGTCATGACGTTGCATATAGAGATTATTAATCATGATTTAGATAGTATATCTCGAAGACTGTTCACTTCGCTGTGGTTTGCTGTTAAGATTGCGGCACGCCAAAGTCCGTCTTCAATTCTTGCCCTCCTGCGACGAAAAATCAAAAACCATAAAAATCACAAATCTCGAAAAAACACAAAAATTGGGAAGGGAATGTGCCAGAGAAGCTTGGATGCAGCTGGGAGTCGGGTGGATTTTTTCTCTTGACCGACCAGTGTCACAGTTCCATCTCCATTGTCACAAGAGCAAACAGCATGTATGCAAGAATATACCAGTCTGTAGTCAGCCTAAACACTTGTACGTCTATAAGTCATCCAAAGCAGCCTGGCGATGGTTTGATGCTTCAACTTCTCTCTCTTTCCTCTGCTTTGGTTTTCAATTTATTGGAAGGAAAAACACTCAACGCCGCGCTCCACCCTCCCCCTCCCCAAAAAGGAACTATAGGTTAGTCTATAGGTTATAGTATAGTTCAGTTCGATAGTTCTCCGAAGTTAGTTCTCCGACCTATTTCAGTCACTTCCTGAGGATAAACCGGACGGCTCCGGAGATGCGGCGTTGCCTTGAAGGTCGTCCCAAAGAGCGGAGCCGTTCGCCGCCGGAGAAGCGCGAGGCGCGGCGTCGGTGGCGGGGTGGAAGAGGTGGAGATGAGTTGAGATGGAATATAGCTAGCTGTTAGTTGGCGGAAGATTCGTGGCAGAAAGTAAGCATTTCTTCGATTTTGGATGGGATGGAAGGCTTGAAAGTCAAGAGAAAGAGAGAGAGAGAGAGGGCAAGGGTCCCAGCCACTTGGCCCTCCGTGTGAGATAAATGACAGTGTTCGACTTGATCCTGCAGGTATGTTCCGGTGGAAACAATGAGAGTCACAAGCTCAGCTGCAATCTTCACTGGTCTTGGCATGCCGAACGGAACCTTGAACCTTGAACCTCAGGTGATTTGAGATGTGCAGAACCCGAGCTTCATGTGCTCTATGCCGCTTGCCGACTCATACCAAATGATGTTGGCCATACCAGCACGTGGATTAACATCCAACGCCATGCCGTCAGCTGACGGTCTCTGAGGCTTCACCACTTGATCAACGCATCCCACAGATCAATATCCAGGGTGCCGCTCGGTGGAGCAAAAAGGAAGAGACCGGTGGAGCACTGACGACTTGAGACGGAAAGGATCGCGTTCGCACCTCGGGTTTCGGCTCGCGACACGGTGTCGCCTGACGGTCCAAGGAGGTGGACCTGTTGCAAGAGTCGCTCAGGAAGGCCAATTGTCACATGTCCAGCGCTTAGAGCTGGGAGCATCATGGAACCAAGATGGAACCCATTTCTTGGTCAATCCGGATGTAGAAGCCTTTGCTCACGTTTAAAAAACAGATAAAAATAGGTCTGAGTGGATGGTTAGGATTTGTTTGCTCTTGTGATCCGGCTGCCGCGCCAGGAACATTTCTGTGGGCGCTGCGACGACGAAAAGATTCGCACAACTTCTCACGCTCGCGCAGTCAGCTGGAGGCATTATCCTCCACTTATCAGTACACGTGGAGGGCTCAGCTTTTAACAACGGCCCTTTTCGGTGCGATGAAAAAGGTGCGGCCTACAAACTATCGGGGAGCCATCAAGTATCAGAGTTTCATGTGGCATTTCCATCCAACTTGCAGATCTTCAACCATTTATGCGCCTATGTGACCTATGTTCATTCCAATAAGGTGGTGAATGCGGAGACGAACGTGGGCATTGTTTTCGAGAATGATTTTGGAGGTGCACACATCCTCTATCGTCAAGAGTTGGAGGAACTCTTGGGCGGGCAGCGGCCTGGCAAAAACGGTCTCAAGAATCTCAAGATGATATTCAGATTAAATATGATCCTCTATAATATCCCTATACAGTGTATCTTTGCATACCTATATTTATATCGCTTGCTGGACAAGGATTATGCTCTATTTTCGGTTGACTGCCATGGCGGGTTGCACCAAGGCAGTTGGAGGGCCTATCCTTCGTGTTTATCAATGGATGCTCCTCCGCCTCCCGGCGGAGTAGGGCGAAGACATGCAGTCGAACAGTTCGATCGTGTCTCTCCCCCGCGGTGGTTGACCTCAGGAAAGCTTTGCAGCACTTCTAGTAGAAGCCGGATGCAGCTTGGTCATTGCCACACGAGGCTTGGTCATTGACAAGCGTTTCTTTTTCCCGCAAGACATGTTGTGGTCTGCTTGCCTTTAGCACTTCAAGCCTTACGAAGAGGCAGCGAAGAGGATTGGGAGAAGCCATGACATGAAGCAAACCATCACCTCTATGGTTGTTCCATGCTTTTCCCAACAGCCCCGTTGGTCGCTTTTCGTCCTTGGTGGAAAGCAGAGCCAGCTCGCTCCCACAGGCAAAGTCTATGATGTTGCTGCTGGAGCCCAAGGAGGTTCTACCTTGATGTGGGTATATGTAGGTGTGTATTTGGGGCACAGAGTGGCACAAAGACCAGAGCCTTTTGAACGTGTCCTTTCTCAGTTTCTCTCCGACAGTGACAGTTTTTGCGAAGAAAGCTGCTGTCTCCGAGGCCACAGCTTTCACCCAACAGCCACTTGACATCACTGACAGCACATGAATTTGCGATCTTTTCAGAGTTGCTTCATGCCAATCTCCGAGCCCAACAGCGAAAGGGCCAACGAAGCCCAAGGACGCAGACCTCGACGAGTTCTTCACATCCAAAACACAAACCCGCCCCGTAGAAGCGATGCCGTTCCAAAACAGGTCTTCCCGTTCCAGTTCCTTGAGGTAAGAGAAAGGTAAAGCTTAAGCTATAAAGCCCATCAAGTTCTGCCTCTTGACTCGCTTCAATGTGAGGTTCTACTATGCCCTTGGATCGCAAGTTTCGGTCCGTTCAGCCTTTGAACGAGCTCAGCAAGTTCTGCGGGTGGACCCCGATCCCAAGGCGTGCGCAGGGGCACCGACACGGGGGTGCATGGCAGCATGGCAGAATTGGGTTACGCTTAGGATCGCTTAGGTAACTGTTGGGTAACCCTGGATCTAAGCCTATAATAGTACAGTAAGTTACGTAGTATAGTTTACTTGAACAGTGAAGTAATCCCAACAAATACCTTTGAAACCCATTCAGATCCTTTGAATACGTAGTTCGCCGCACCCCTGGAACCGAAATGTCGCCGGGCCATCACCACCGGGTCAAGCCATCGAAAGATTGGACCGCGACGAAAGGTTTTGAGTTTTGGGAGTTCATTTATTGGACATGCCTAAGAATGTCTGCAAGTCTGCGAGAATCAGGACGTCCGGCACATGCCAGCGAGCTTCAGCCACTGAAGACTTAGATAGAAGCCACATGAAGCCACTGATTCGAAGACATGACTCATTCTTTGGATTCTTTGGAGGTTTTGATTTGAAACCTCACCCGATTTGAAACGCAGATGTTGGATTTGATGTCTCTTGGCAGGTGAAAGCTAGTGCAGCTACTTGGACTTGAAAGATGGGACCATGATTCGCCGTTCAGTCATCGCAGTGCTTGACAGGTTGAGTCACAGCTTTTAAGACCATTCTGCTTGACCCCAAAAGGGTCGGACGCTGGGAAAAGGATATGAGGCACCATCGACATCAGAGCCTTTCTCGGGTCAGTTTTGCATCGGTCAGAGCCTAATAAGATGAGCTCATTCCAAGATGTGGCCCCGGAGATTGCCCTGTCCCTGTCATCTAACAAATCATGGAAGCCTTGCCAGATCTTGGGGAAATGATCGGAAGCCTTGCCAGATCCAGCCAAGGACATGTTTGTCCTTTTCGGGCAGCATGCTGCTCGCTCCCATACACTCCCTCGTCGACCAATAGATAACTCAATGGCAGATGGCGCCTCGTCCGCACATTGGTATTCCTTTTTGTCAGGACCATGAACAAAGAATGGTCATACAGTACGGCATTGGCATATTTAAACATTCTGTAGAGCTTGGTAACCGAATCGCTTTGTTTGACATCAATTTGATGAGAGGTCAGAAGATGAATTCTGGCCTGCAAATTGACAGCAACTTTGGCTCGTCAGTTGCATGGCAAGATCGTCAGTCATTCAGGATGTCTTTTGCTGATCACGGAAACTAACCAGCCCCTTGAAACGGATGGGTTTTGATGGTAGTCAGAATTGAGTGGAATGAATTGGGTTTTGAGATTCCTAGAGTCCTAGATATATGTATTTAATGTATTTTCTTATGCGAAAAGATGCAAACAAATAGGAACACATGAAGAAATCCATTCCAAGACATGTGCACATAAATCGGTAATTCAGCCTGAGTCAAGGTTACATAAATCGGTATTTCAACGATATATATATATATATAATATTTATAGATCAAATAGTACAATGTAAACTTGTCCGTTGATAGGCCTCCGCTCATGCGGAGACCGCGGGTGATAGATGAAGCCCTTCTATGAATTCTTCCAGTACATAGGCACCACCCATGTGGAGACCGAGGGTGGTTGTTTAAAGATGAAGCCCTTCTATTCAT